TTATTTTTCGGCTCGAGGTCAGAAGACTGTCTGATTGGGGTATCCATGTTAGGCTGCAGCATGGCATGTCAGTGGGCTAGGTCTATAAAACAGACATTAATCTTGACTAGTACAAACACACAAACATACACCGGGAGTCTTCATAAAGCATGCCCTTCCGTAATCAAATTAACCCACTTTGTTACGCCACAGCATCGGTACGGGTTGGTGCCGGTCCACTATTTGGGGATACGATAAGTCGATCCATACATAATTACTGACTGAAAGCCCCAGTGTTGTCCTAGCAAGATCAACAGGCTGTTCTCGACATGTCGGGAAGGGCATAGCTCATATGCTTGTGGGTCTGAAGAGGTAAAGAAAACACAAGCACTAACAAGTGATCTTGCAAACCTTTGTCATGTCGGTTAAATAAAGCGATTAGCGTCACGGGAGCAAACGGGGCACCCTTTAGAGTCTCTGAGATTAGAGAATCTATTACTACGATATCAGATCGATGCCACATGGTCGCTGTAAGGGAATTAACACGGAAATCAATCATTTTATAATCTAATTTTTACTGGCAGGTCAGGTGAAGGGTTATCTCCCCTGTCTCCATGCATTTGAACGACTGGGGATTGTATTGTTTGTAGGGGGTAGAATTTCAAAGTTTAGTTAAGGAGAAAAGTTAGATAAAAGTGTTCCGGCTTGTTATCACGGCTGAGAATTCCATGTTATAAATGGATGTTTGTCTTGTTTCTCCTCGTCACATGAAACACGGTATTTCATCGCGTGTAACAACGAGACAAGGTCCTTTGAAGGAAACAATTCCGACGTCTCTTTGATGACATAGGCTGTAAAGACAACCGGACGTGCCACATGTAGATCTGAACGGCTCAATATAGTGATTGAACAACCGAGACGTAGATGTCGGATGTTTTGTTTTTAAATACGGTATTTTGATACAGCTGCTTCTGTGTGACGCGCTCATTGGGCACGTATGAGATGTGAACACTTCCTGTATATTAATAAAGTAGTTGTAGTAGCAGTTGTAGTAGTAGCAGTAGTAGCAGTAGTAGTAGTAGTAGTAGTAGTAGTAGTAGTAGTAGTAGTAGTAGCAGTAGTAAGAAGATATGGAAGCATATTCGTGCCACAGTCTTAAAAATATTATCATCTCCGTAGATTATACTTTCATATTCGACACGTGAAGATCCGGGGTTAGAAAAGATCTTCACCGATGCTAGCCGTAAGAGGTGACTATCCTTGTCGTAAGAGGCGACTAACGGGATCGGGTGGTCAGGTTCGCTGACTTGGTTGATGCATGTCACCGTATCCCAATTGCCAGGATCGATGCTCATTATATCAATCACTGGATTGTCTGGTCCAGACTCGATTATTTACAGATCGCCGTCATATAGCTGGGATATTGGTGAGTGCGGCGTTAAACAACCAACCAACAATCAACCAACCAACCAACTTTTAATGTTGATAGTTTGACAATCATCTCAGTATGTTCTAAAAAGAAGAAAGTGGATAAATAAAAAAAACTGCATGTTCCCAAACATTTAATTAAAATAACAGTAATCAATTAATCACCTTCACTTAAAATATAAATGTTTGTATAAACTAGTGTCCTTCTAGCATCGCAACTTCACATGATACGTACGATGATAATATCACATATAATATCTTCTCAGTAGATGTACGGATTATCTCAGTAGATGAAAGTATATTTTTTGACAGTGGCACTAATATACGGAAGCCTTTTAGGGCCATTTGCGTTTGTTTTTTTCTTGAAATTATTATTATGTTGAAATTTCAAGATAACTAGTTGAAACATACTGACATACTACTTATGTATCTTGAAATTTCAAGTTATCATCTTGAAATTTCAACTTAGTATTTCAAGATACATACTAAATTGAAATGTCAAGATAATCATCTTGAAATTTCAAGATACATAAGTCAAGATAATGATTTTGAAATTACAAGATACTAAGTTGAAATTTCAAGATACATACTAAGTTGACATTTCAAGATAATCATCTTGAAATTTCAGGATAATATCTTGAAATTACAACTTTCAAGAAAGTATCGAAAAACATATTTAAAAAACACAAATGGCCCTAAAAGGCTTCCGTACTAAAAGGCTTCCATAAGATTAAGAAGAGGTAGTAGTACCGGTGGTAGTTGTAGCAGCAGAAGTTTTAGAGGAGAGAGAAAGGAGAGAGAGGTGAGAGAGGGGAACGGGAGAGATGGAGGAGAGATGAGGAAGGAGAGGGCTGATGTGATAGGGATAGTGGAAATAGATATTTTTGAGTGAGAGAGGGAAGAGAGAGGGGAAGAGAGATTCTTTTAGTTAGAGAGGGAAGAGAGAGGGGAAGAGAGATTATTTTAGTTAGAGAGGGAAGAGAGAGGGGAAGAGAGGTTCTTGAGTTAGAGAGGGAAGAGAGGGGGGGGGGGGGGGGGAGAGAGACACTCTAACAATCTATGACAATACGTCAATCTACATGTTTAGTGTCGCTTTACTGAGGATGTCCTCTGTATCAGCAACTAACCATTGTGTTCCTGTCGTATCTCTCACCATGACGGGATAATGCACCGCAATTCCCACATAATCCCTAGTTTGACACTGCACGTCAGTCAGAAATTGACTAAACAAAAACGTCAAATCAGTCTGTCAAACCGCATTAAAATCTCGCCCTATAAAACATCTGTTTTCTAAACACATCCATTTTCTACTGGATCCTTTGCCTTGAAGATTATTACTTCTGATGCATTAAAAAAGAAGAAAAGGAAATTCATATCATTTTTAAAGAAATGTTTTTCACGAGAAAATTGTTTGATATTAAAATCTCCATCGACTGGGATATAAACACGCGATGCTTCCTGCGACGTCTTTGCCGCTATGCAACATCACCGACGTCGTGGGTCATGACTGGGATGAACAGAGTTGTCGACATGTCTGTAACGTGCTTTAGACGCACGGCCATGTGTTTTCCTAAGGCCAGGAGACGGCGATGGATTGTAAGATCAATAAGACTTTCAATCCATCTCCGACCACAAATGTGTTACTATAGTGAGACGGAAGCGAGTTAAATGTGGTATCACCTACAATTACCAGCTTATGAAATACAGGAAATAATTAAATCCTTAATGTCTGTGCCAGGGTTTCTATTCCAAACTGAATGGTACTTTAACTAACGACTCTCGGGGTACCATGAGCTTGCCATTGATTTCGCTACATGTGTGGAATGGCCAATGCCAACACGCATGCGTACCATCATATACAGTTTCAACTTTATCACACGTATATCTTTTCCTAGTTTTGTCTGAGTAATGATATATCTGCGGACACACATGTCGGATGTTTGTTTGTTTGTTGTTAAACGCCACATTCAGCAATATCCCAGCTATATGACGGAGGTCTGTAAAGAATCGAGTCTGGGCCAGACAATTCCGTGATTGACATCTTGAATTTTGATCAACACAATTGGGATCGATGACATGAATCAACCAAGTCAGCGAGCCTGACCACCCGATCCCTTTAGTCGCCTCTTACAAAAAGCATAGTCGCCTCTTACGACAAGCATGGGTTGCTGAAGACCTATTCTAAAAATGTCAAAGGGACCGATAGAAGACATTCTAGACCATTTACACTCATATTTCTGTTAAGGACGCACCCGCAGCTGGATATTCGTTACAAATAATGCACGAGTCTGCGAACCTGGCGAATATCATTATTTGTAAGGAAAGTCGAGTTGTATCGATGCAGACAGGTGATATGACCACGCCCAGGCCATCAGTCACTGTGTGACCTAGACGAGAATATATACAACAAGGTTACTCGTATGCGTGACCTTGACCTGCGATCCGTCTGTCCTTGACTATCTCATACAAGATTCCTGGATAGCCCCCTGATGTGTGATTTAGACAAATGAAATCCTTGTTCCAAACCTAATGTAATCAAAGCGTCCAGCCATGCCCCTTGACATATGTTGTAGCATACTTAATGACAAGATGACGACCCTTGTCCGAGCCGCCTCGCCATCATATAGCTGGAACAAGATTTAAAAACCTTTCACATATACAGGCATAATGACAGGTTGTGAGCCTGTAGCTACAGTAACTATATCTCCTTGTTTGTACGTCCTATTCTGTGTATGTGTGACAAAACACCAACGTATGATTGTTACAGTCCATGTGTACTATCAGTCAAAGTGTAAAATGTGATTCACTAGGCAATCTAATAACAATGCTTAAATATTTGTAAAACGCCTATAATTTTCAGTTACTTTACAAATTGACTAAAGAGTATGTTAAAACTATTGTGAGGTTAAAAAGGGCTTGAAAAAGCGTTACAAAAGACTAATTATGCAAGGAGTAGAAGCCAAAAAATATATTTAAGATATATATATTGACTTTCGTTTCTTTCAATCTATTATTTTAAGTCACTGGATGATGATTCGTGGTCATAGTTTAATAATGAACGGACTTTTCAGTTAATATGTAAACTGACTTAAATATCAAGGCTTTTTTTTGTAAATTGCCTTAGGGACGATTTCAGTCATTCTATACACTGACTGTTAAGTATCTTTTATCACCCCAAACTAGCTCCCACAGGAGATATCGCTTGGGTGAGATAAACGATATCTACATCGCTGCTATTAAATTGCATCACAATACTTAGCAGACCACTGTGACGTTATTGGTTACCATGCTGTCATAATCAAATGACATCACTAATGGCTCTGCTACTGAAGCTGTTAGCAGTACTTTTTACGCTTAACACTGCTTACTAGTATTACTGTCTACAGACCGAAAAAGTTGGAAGAATGATGTTGGATGATAAATAGAATATCACCCTCGGAGTTTTAAACTTTTACCGACCCGTGTATAGATATATTTGGTATCAAAAGACACTTGTGTGAGATTCTCCATATATCAACGTAACGTTGTAGATATACATGTACCCTCGCTGTGTGTATATATACTGGTTCTGTATGATGTATTCTCTGTTTCAGTCATCGTCCTCTGCGCATCCCCGGATTCCGTCAGGGAGATTATGATAAAGGCTCATGAACTCAACTTCGACAACGGCGAATACGTCTTCTTCAACATCGACCTGTTCTCGAGGTAAGTGCAGCTGTACCAGTAGTCAGAGGCGACTAACGCGATCGGGTCAGGCTCGCTGACTTGGTTGATGCATGTCATCGTATCCCAATTGCGTGGATCTATGCTCATGATGTCAATCACTGGATTGTCTGGTGCAGACTCGATTATTCACAGACCGCCGTCATATACATGCAGCTGGAATATTTGTGAGTGTGGCGTTAAACAACAAACAAACAAAACAAAACTAGTAGTAAGTAACAACAGACTCCAAAATAGCATCAGCATCACCATCAGAGTGAGTGATTATGTTTGTATGCTGCTTTTGGCAATATTCCAGCAATACCACGGCGGGGGACGCCAGAAATGTTTTTTTTTACACATTGTACCCTTTTTGAGAATCGAACCCCGGGTCTTCGGGGTGAAGAGTGAACGCCGTAACCACTAGGCTACCTACCGACGCAGCAGTAGCAGAGGCAGCAACATTATTATTATTATTAGTAGTAGTAGTAGTCGTAGTAGAAGTAGAAGCGGTAGTGATAACGGTAGCAGCAGCAGACGTAATGGTGACGGTAGCAGTAGTAACAGCAGTAGCAGTAGCAGTAGCAGTAGCAGCAGCAGATGCATTTTAGTAACATAACATAGTAAACCAGACATGATGTAAACAATAGACTTCATGTCAAGAACAAGGTATGCGGCTCGATTTTGTTTCATATAAAAAGATAAAAACAAAAACAAAGAGTGTACTGTGAGTGAGTGAGTGAGTGAGTGAGTGAGTGAGTGCGTAAAGCTTAAAGTTTAGCAACATTCCAGCAATATCACGACGGGGAACTCCAGAAATGGGCTCCAGAAATTGTACCCATGTAGGCATCCGAACCCGGACCTTCGGTGGTACGAGCGAATGCTTTAACCACTAGGCTACCCCACCGCCCCGTACTGCTGGACTTACAACGTGGCAATATCACGTCGTTCTGTTTGGCTGTTCCTTCATGTTATATAGACCTGAGCTAGAACTGATCATTGGTTAGCAGAACAGACCCAACCCAATCGTACAAAGAAATCGAAAACTTTCGTCAGAAGTTATATGTTCAGAGACCCGTGAAGATCCGGGGTAGAATAGGTCTTCAGCAACCCATGCTTACCATAAAAGGCGATTGTGCTTGGAGTAAGAGGCGACTAACGGGATCGGGTGTTCAAGCCCACTGACTTGTTTGATCCATGTCATCGTGTCCCAATTGCGTGGATCGATGCTCATGATGTCAATCACTGGATTGTCTTTCCAGACTCGATTATTTACAGACCGCCGTCATGAAGCTGGAATAGTGTTGAGTGCGGCGTTAGACAACAAACAAACAAACAAACAGAAGCGATGAATGGTAGAGCTTCAATTCCTTGCCGCATCTGAAACACTTCCCACCAGTTATGACGGTATAACGGGGGATGAAGTACATGGACCATTCTACCATGAATTTGGAAATTACTCGATTCTGATTGGTCAATCACAATAAACCCCCTAAATTTGGCGCTTTTCTATATTCGACTGTGGCGTCATATCTTTTGAACACTTCACGCATGGTGCTTCCTAATTAGCCTGACCGCAGACCCCTGTGATAGACTTCCCATCTGCTCACTGCATACGGTGATGAGAACAAAGGGCTACGTCCGTGAAGGCGACATCAACGTCAATCACATCCTCGTCATGGCCCTCATACGGGGACGTTAAGCTGTTAAATGAGTCTCCTGGGAAACTAAAACATAAGTCCGCACTCATAGAGTCATTAAATAAGATGAATTGCCCTTTCTCTGTGGAATGGCACCGAAAGAATCTATATGTCTCTTGTGGAGACGGGGGCACGGGTAGCCCAGTCGTCTAAGGCCCCGCGATTCGCTGTGCAGAGTTGCGTCCCTTCGACATGCCAGAAACCTATGACTGTGGGTTCGAATCCCGGTTCGCCCCGATTATGTTTCTAGGTTTGTCAGCACCATACCCGTGCTCGTGGGTTTCACCTAAGTGGTAAACGTCTGAGACCCGCATCACTTGGGGCTTTCCTCCCACTTTAAGCTGACACGCCGCGATATAACTGGCGTTAAACCCAACTCACCCACTCACACATCGTGTGGAGACTTTAGTGAGTGTGATTTTACGACGCTTCTAGCAATATTCCATTAATATCTGGGGAAACCAAAAATGGGCTTCACACTTTATACCTTGGTAGGGGATCGAACTCGGGCCTTCGTGTGACGTCGAACCTATAGACAATCTCGCCACCCTACGGTGACGTAGTACGTACGATAATAACATCATATAAGCAAATATGGAATCTCGCATTATATATAACGGTTTAACATTAATGATATGTGACAATCGCTGAAACTTTTTAAGTCTATATTCAGTACAATGTGTGAAGCCCATTTCTGGTGTCTCCCGCCTTGATATTGCTGGAATATTGCTAAAAGCGGCGTAAAACCAAACTCACTCACTCGTTTAAATGGTCAAAGACCTTGCAGGTGTTGCGTATCACTTCATCACTTCATCAGTACAATTGTCTTCTCATGTTCTTTAAGAAGTGTGTTCAGCATCGGTGCCTTTGCCTATAGATTTGGGTGCGGCAGGATCATTCACTAAGACATCCTTCTGGGGTGTGGTTCGGACTAAGATGCTATGTTTAATCGGGTAATGATGCTTGGTCATCTGCTGTAATCCTTTCAATCCTGAAAATCGAGGTATCCTGTTCCGAGACTCTTGAAGTGTTCGATGAGGTTCAGGTATTAGGTGTTCCATTTTTGTTCCGGGGAAAATGATGTTGTGCGTCGAGGTTTATTACAGTGTCAGGTAACATACAGATGCGTTCTTCATGCTAATTGTGTGAGTGGTGGGTTCTTCCGGTAGGGCCTTACATGCTTACCCTGTTCGGGAACCCCTGGTGTCCATTCCATTCGTATAATTGTCACCGCTATTTTGCCTGTTACGCAGAATGGAATCTGTTTTGTTTGATAATCGAAACTGGTTATTGTCTGGCGTTCTAGTTTTATATTTACGTCTATCAGTAAAACAGATAGCGGTGATGAAGCTCCGGTGAATTTTCAGAGGACAAATATTCATTAACACTTTTTAGTGTAACTGAAACCATTTGTCCAGAATCCAATCAGAATACGAAAGGCGAAAGCGGACTTCTGCTTATGTCCCTGCTAAAATCAAGTTCCTTCCCAGCGCGTGACACCTTCGTTACACACTCGGTAACATCGCTGCCACCTACCAATGACTAGTTGGCGCGGCCATTACAAGATCCTGAAATATACCCTCTAACCCCAAATGTAGTAACGTTCATACTTGTGTTTGTCTTTGGGGATGACAATACAATTATTTTACTGATGATATTCCCAGATGAATTTAACTTTTTGTTTGTTGGATCAGACTGGTTCGAGATTGCAGACGAACGGAAAATCACTCAAATTCCCCGTTACATTCTTACTATACCAATTACATGATAGTTGAAATGAAAGAGAAATTCAAATTGACAAACAAAGAAATTAATTTAGCTTGGGTAAGAGTATTCGGCGTCACGACAGTCAGCGCTTGTTTGTAAACATAACGGTCCTTCGGTTGCGAGTTCAACTTCAAGCATGGTGGTGACCACCTATCACAGTGGGGCGGCTTTGAGCGGTGGCTGCAATAGTTTTGAGAGCTCCGCGAACGGGCTATCGCTGTGAGGAGCTTGTTTCAACATATGTCTTGTCGGGCATTGGTTGGTTCATGATCACTTCAGAAATCTTTGCCTGGCAGATCAACGCATGAAGAGTCTGCACAGTAGTGATTAGTGTTCACCTGCGACATGCAAACACAGAAAAAATCACCTTGTTAAAAGCAGAGTGACATAAAAAGTATTTAACTATTAAATTAAGAAATAGAGGACGAGTGGGAGTTCCCTATTTTGACTTGTACCATGCGTTCCCTTGTTTTTTCAGGTGAACAATTGACTTGTATTTGCATGTGTTTGTGATGGGTGTTACCGGTAGGGCAGGATACGCTCACCTTTTCGCGAATATCTGGTATCCTTACTATTTTATAGCGATTCATAAACACATGTTCATTGTTGGAATCGTTCATTCGACTCTGACCGCCTCCGTGGTCTAGTGGTAGAGCCTCCCACCCGGAGAGCGGAAGGTCCGGCGTTCGATACCCGGCCGCGTCATACCAAGAGACGTTAAAAGATGGTACTTGTTGTTACCCTTCCTGGCGCTCGGCATTAAGGGGTTAAAACAAGGACTGGTCGGCTCGGAGTCAGTATATTGTGTCTGAGTGGGGTGTTCATGTTAAACTGCGGCATGGTATCTCAGTGAGCTAGCACTATAAATCGGCATCAGTCCGGACTAGTACAAGCAGCCACACACACACACACACACGTACGTGCATCCACGTCGCTATATAAGTGCAATAATCTTGGGAGGGACGTTCAACCCCATTTCACCTCACCTTTAATGGTCAAAGACCTTGCAGGTGTTGCGTATCACTTTATCACTTCATCAGTACAATTGTCTTCTCATGTTCTTTAAGAGGAGTGTTCAGATGGTACTTGTTGTTACCCTGACTGGCGCTCGGCATTAAGGGGTTAAAACAAGGACTGGTCGGCTCGGACTCAGTACAGAGTGTCTGAGTGGGATATTCATGTTAAACTGCATGGTATCTCAGTGAACTAGCACTATTAATCGGCATCAGTCCGGTCTAGTACAAGCAGCCACACACACACATACGCGTGCATGCACGTCGCTATATAAGTGCAATAATCGTGGACGCGATGTTAAACCCAATTTCACCTCACCTCATTCGACTCTGCTTTATGCAGAGATTTCTATTGGATATGGAAAGGGTTTTGTCGTGAAATAAAACACTGCAGGGAAAATAAACCATGAGGGGAGCAGTCCCGAGTGGTTTATTCTCCCTGCAATGTTTTATCGTACGATAAACAACGACCACGAGTCGTTTATTTCTTATTTGAAATATGAACATTTTGTACAGCCTTTTTACGGATGTCAATCAATTGTAGAAGCTTTGAAAACATTTACCCGCATTTAAATAATGATGACTCCCCGAAACCCACCCGACCTTGGCAATGTCGGACAAGTCCATTTTATGTCAGGGGGTTACGTTTGGTATTCTCACAATTTCCGCATCGATTATCTGCACCTTTTCTCCAAATACTGATTGTCATATGTCTCCCAATTTTGGGCGCGATCGCTCGGCCATTGCATGGCGTTCAACGTTTTCTTTATTTGCTTGTGTCGTGATATAACTCACTCACTCACTCACTCACTCACTCACTCACTCACTCACCCACTCAGTCACTCACTCACTCACTCACTCACTCACCCACTCACTCACTCACTCACTCACTCATGCTTGTTGTTAAACGCCGTACTGAACTATATGCTAGCCAAATGACAGCGGTGATCGATCGCCGACGGCGTGGATCGTTATTCAAACTATCAGTCACTAGATGGTCTGGGCCAGACTCGATTATTTACATTTGAATAATCCTGAGTGCGGCGTTCAACAAGTCTATACTCCAAGGAAGTTTGTTTGTTTGTTCTTTAACGCCGCATCAATATTCTATAAGACGTCGGTCTGTAAATAACTGTGTCTGATCCAGACAATCCAGTGATTGACATCATGACCATTGATCTATGCAATTGGGATACGATGACATGCATCAACCAAGTCATGAAGACCTGAGCCTAAACGTCGCCTCTCACGACATGTTGAATCAATCTGAATGTTTTGTGATGGTAACACACATCTCGCCAAGAAGCAGATCTGCCCAGATCAATGTCCCTTTGATCAGAATTATGTTGGCACAGTGTTAAGCGTGCCTCCGTACACCCAGACCCTCGGTACATAATCAATATCGACTGTCAGGAGTATCGAGATGAACTAACCCCATATAACGGAGTAAAATATGTGTAAATGTTCAGGGAAACCTGTTAATCTGAACGATAGCGACCTCAATCAAATTTCCCGGATTGGCGATTTTTAGGATGACGAAATCAACGATCATGACCAACAAAAGTATCTGTCCGGATAGTGGAGATGTTTGGTTTAACCGGGTTTCGGACTAACAATACCTTACCACTTCTGCTTTTATGGTGACTTCCCACTCTAACACATCAAAACAGTGCGAAATAATCAGCTCAATACAAAAATATTGTTCCTTCAGAATGCCAAGTTTCTGGATTAACCAAGTTTCGCTGTTCCCATATACTTCTAAACCACAGTCCACAGTCCACACTAACCCTTAAGCTGAGGGAGACAGTTGGAGTGTAGGTCTGTCGTGAGATCCACTCGTTCTATTCAGATCCGTACAGGAATGCTTCAGCGTCTATCGCTCTTACTGGTGATCAAGGCTTCGGTGTTTGTAATAAAACGCTCGCCATTTCCCCTTTCCTCGCCTTCAGATAACCCCTTGTTCCGACAGCCTCATTCGTTAACATCAAAACCTGCTACACATAGCTGCCAATGAATATATTCAAGTCTCTGATTTCCTCAATTTTCCGGGATATAAGAGGATCGTTGTTTAGCCGTGTGTCTCCACATCCCTCGTCTTATCTGGATTAGTTACAAAGTACATTAACTTGCTTTTTGTCAAGGACATTGCTCTTTCTTGAGATAATTGCGGGACGTCTTTCGCGTAATTTGTTATTCTTTAGAAGAATATTTATTCTCGAGTAAATCGATTAGCTGAGGAAGATAGGTGAGAGTAGGTCTGAGATGAGGTCCACAAGAGCAGGTGAAATAGAAAGTTTTTTAGATAATTTGCATGAGTATTGGTGTATCGTTGATGCAATCTCTTTTCGAGCCCTTAATCTACCAGCTTTCAGCCTTTGATGATTCGAGTATGTTTAAAGATAAACAATTAAATTACGCCACCCTATGGCATGCCGGTGAGATTGAAATAGTTGATATTGGATTTAGTTGGCTCCGTCCTCTTTAATAACGAATCCATTCCCAGTTACAATCTCCTTTTCAATCTCAGCAGATTAATATGTGTGATTGAGAGATTGGAAACTTCATTTGCGATTTTTTAACTCTTGAATATAACGACATGTTTGGGATTAACTTTTGTTGCGTAAATCGGGCCAGTTATACATATGGTGTATGTTAGTCGTGCACGTAAACGAGATGCGTTCGTATCCGTAGAATTGGTAAGACGTATTCGCCTTCGTTGAACAAAAACATGATTAAATCGCTGCACATAGTTAAATATATATCTTATACGCAAAGTGAAAGCGTCAAAGATCTGAATCCCTTTGGGCTTACCCCCCGAACCAAGCTGACACGCCTTGATATATTGAGGATATTTCATGTGTCGAGTGAAATATCATGTTTCTCTCATCTCGTGACGGGCGGAAAGGAGATATTTTCTTGAGTGGCGTATATATGAGAGAAACATGATATTTCACTCGACACATGAAATATCCTATTAATTATATACTTTTTTGTAGTTTTCTACCGGAATATTAAATGATTTCATTACAAATGTAAAACCTTGAAACGTAAATTCTCCCTACCTACGGTTCACCACCCCTTGTATTTGCGACTTAAAAAGTAATTCCGTTTTTGCAATATCTAAAAGAATATTAACAAAAGTATAAAAAATATCTAGGGTCACGAACATTCTGTATCATACAAGGAGACCGCTGTTGGAAGCGAAAGAATACACGCTGGTCAAGTAACAAAACTGTTAAATGAGAAATTTACAGTTTATAACGAAGCATTTTCGAGAAAATAACAAAAGTGATATTTACTCCATAAATGACCACCTGTCATTATTTTGCCTTGTCAATGTGGAACTAACGCAAAAAGGACGTCAACAGTTTGCGTACGGGCTTGACACTTACGATAAAGGGAGACAATTTAACGGGAGGTAACCCTTGTATGATAATAGTTCCGTCAAAGTGTCTTGATCACTGCAGTGAAATATTAAGTGTTATGTTCACTGCAATTAAAATATCACTTTTCTCATCTTCAGAAAACTCAGTCTTTCACACTGAAGTATATGATAAAACTTAAATACCGCTTAAAACAGCGTTAAACCCAACACACTCACTCACTCATAACTCTTGCTTGACAGTAAGAACGCCAGCGAGAGGCCGTGGTACCGTGAGAACGACACGGAAGCTCGCAACAAGAAGGCAAGGCTGGCGTACGAAGCGTTGATGACCGTCACTTTGAGGAAGCCGACGAGCCCAGAGTACAGACGTTTCTCGGAGGAGGTGAAAAGAAGAGCTGCTCAGATGTACAAGAACTTTACGTACGGGGAGGAGGAGGTAAGATCTGTCAATGAAGGGATGATGAGCGTGCATATGAACTTTGTCGCAAAATTACAGCTCGGTCTTCAAAAGATAAGGGCCGACTCCGTAGTCTAGTGGTAGAGCGTCCGCCCTGAGCATTCATACTAAAAAACGTTAAAAGACGGTACTTGTTGTTACCCTTCCTGGCGCTAAAGGGGCTAAAACAAGGACTGGTCGGCTCGGAGTCAGTATACTGTGTCTGAGTGGGGTATTCATGTTAAACTGCGGCATGGTATCTCAGTGGGCTAGCACTATAAATCGGTATCAGTCCGGACTAGTAAAAAAGCAGCTACACACACACACGTGCATGCACGTCGCTATATAAGTGCAATAATCTTGGACGCAACGTTAAATCCCATTTCACCTCACCTCACCTCAAAAGATAAAACTTTCAAACACGTTATCAGTGTCTGACCTTGACATTCAAAACTAGGGGACACCCAATAGTTACTTTCAAGAATATATGAGGGTCCTGTAAAGTATTGAAATAGTGAAGTGTACTGTACTGTAAGATTTACACTAATTACAAGACCTCTATATTTCTTGTCAAGAATGTGGTACAGTGAATTTTAATGTGCGCGCCTCTGGATACAATATATATTTGTTCTGCGTCCATTCTAGACTTTTTATAGAAGCACATTTCTGCGTCGTGTAAAAGAGTGCGTTATAAATGTCGTCCACTTTTTTTCAAGATTAGACTAAAGTTGGTTAAAGTTTCTTTACAACTTCAATACACTGGGAATCAATAACAGTAAAAGACAAGACGCCATATACCGACACAGTGCCGGGATAACACATTATATCCCTGATTATTGGAAGTCCAAACTCTTGTTAAAGCTGTAACATATTTTTTTTCCATAAAACGAAATTAAACGGAACCGTTTGTTTTAGCAGTTGGGAACAAATGACTGTGGCGTGAGATTATTCCGAACCTGCGGTAGCTGCATGCGCCCCGTGTTTATTACTCATGGAAATGAGTTTTACGCTAAATCAAGCAGTACAGATACTCTTTGCTTCATCGTTCGATACACATTCCCTAGTGACGGGATTCATTAGTCGAAAAGGCGGGCGTTTTAAGTGGAGGCTCTTTTAGACGACTATAATCGATCTTGTACGTTTCAGTACGTGACGTCTGCAATTTGCGTTGAAGGCTGTTTCCAATAATGAAAAGGTCTCTCACAACAGACTCCTAGCATTCACCCTTAGTCCTATCCCCGACATTCAAACAAAACCGACATTCTCATCTTACCCTGCATCACCCATCCCCATCTCCATCATCAGCGGTGTCACGGGTGGCCCGGTCGTCTAAGGCGCCGCTATTCGCTGTGCAGAATTGCGTCCCTTGGGCACGCCAGAAAGCTATGATTGTGGGTTCGAATCCCGGTTCGCTCCGATTATGTTTCTGGGTTTGTCAGCACCATACCCGTGCTCGTGGGTTTCACCGAAGTGGTAAACGTCTGAGACCTGCATCACTTTGGGATTTCCTCCCACATTAAGCTAACACGCCGCGATATAACTAATACTGTTAAAAGCGGCGTTAAACCCAACTCACTCACTCGATCATCAGCCACCCCGTCACTACCTCACTATCCACACCTAGCCATTACCTCGACATTTCATCTCACCCAACATCATCCATCCCCATCATACTGTCATCAGCACAACTACCCCCGTTTATCCCCACCCAGCAAACAAAAACCGTCGTTACGACCATCAACTCACCACCCTCACGGCCACACCACACCCTTTGTACCGACCCGTGGGACATCTGTCCCATGTTATGTTAAAGCCATTGCAGATTGACGTGTCACTGGTTTGCTTTTTTATTTGATCATGTTCATTGTTTTTTCGACGTGAACTGGGGACACGGGTGGCCCATTCGTCTGAGGCACCACAATTCCCAATGCAGAGTTGCCTCCCTTATGCTTACCAGAATCCGATGATCGTTTGTCAGCGTCATAGCCGTGCTCTTGGGTTCCACCAAAGTTGTAAACGTCTGCGATCTGTATCTCTTCGGGTTGTCCTCCAAAATGTAGGTGATATGATACATACTAAATACTGTTCAAAGTGGAGTTAAACCTTCTTCACTCACTCACTCCAGGTAAACAGTTTCGTGGGGGCGTTCCATGATGCAGTGATCCTGTACGCCCTGGCTCTCAACGAGACGCTGGAAGCTAACGGCTCCATCTCCGACGGTGCCGCCATCACACGTCGCATGTGGAACAGGACATTTGAAGGTAAGTCCCTATCTATATATGGCCGGCGGGGTAGCCTAGTGGGTAAAGTGTTCGCTCATCACGCTGAATTCTTGGGTTTGATTTCCCATGTGGGTACAATATGTGAATTTGTTGTGTTCCCCGTCCTGGTATTGCTGGCGTAATGTTAAAAGCGGCGTAAAACCGTACTCAATCAGTCAATAACTATAATCATATATGAATTTTCCAATATCCATTTATACTGAGGAGCAAAAGTAAATATACCTCTCAGTTAATTTTATGGCATGTTTAATTTTCAATAGAGATAATATAACTGCACTGGCGCAACGTATACACTCAAACAATACTTCTAAATGGTTTTTATTCCTTAAAATATAATTTGACTACATTTTGTTATTTTTATTCGCATAATACACAGTTGCTGATTGGTTTCATAGAAACCTTATCTGAACAGAAATCAATAAATGTGACTTTTTTTCTACTTTGTGGCATAATAGGGGTCATGTGGTTACAAATTCATCTTTGACTCCACTCTATTGAACAAAGTAACTGTTATTTTTAGATAAAATGACCAAGCCACAGATTACTTTTTACGAGCTGTTGCAGGAACGAGTGATGGTTAGAAAGATAATCAAATTTAACAACAGTTCTTTCAGTTTTTCAATTACATTAAACACATACTTGGTATATTTTCTTTTGCCCATCAGTTCTTTTTGTATTTTTTGTTGGGATGGGATAGGTGCACAACAATCTATTTTTGTCGTAAGAGGCGCCACAATGGATCGGGTGGTTAGGCTCAGTGACATGGTTGATCGTTGATCGATCGCCGACGGCGTGGATGGTTATTGAAACCATCAGTCACCGGATGGTCTGATCCAGATTCGATTATTTACACTTGAATAATGCAGCGTTCAACAAGTGTCTACTTCAAGAAAGTTTGTTTGTTTGTTGTTTAACGCTGTGCTCACCAATATTACAGCTATATGACGGCGGTCTGTAAAACAATCGAGTTGGAACAGACAATCCAGTGATTGATATCATGAGCATCGCAATCTACGCAATTGGGACACGATGACATGCATCAACCAAGTCAGCGAGTCTGACCACTCGATCCCGTTAGTCGTCTTTTACGGCAAGCATAGTTTGCTGAAGCTCAATTCTACCCCGGATCTTCACGGGTCTACAATGAATTAGGAAGTGCGATAATACGTTAAGTGCGTACATATATTACGAGATCAGAATGTTAAGCCACAATGTTCCTTTTCTAATACTATCAATTTTTCAGTGATTCATAGATTAACTTGGTCCGGGGTTCGATCCCCGACCGCGTCATACCAAAAGACGTTAAAAGATGGTACTTGTTGTTACCCAGTCTGGCGCTCGGCATTAAGGGGCTAAAACAAGGACTGGTCGGCTCGGAGTCAGTATACTGTGTCTGAGTGGGTTATTCATGTTAAACTGCGGCATGGTATCTCAGTGAGCTAGCACTATAAATCGGCATCAGTCCACACACATACACACATGGACGCGACCTTAACCCCATGTACACCTCACCTGTAGATTTACTTGAGCCTTTCAGCATCATAAGTCAAACCGGTGTTGCCAGTATATTGCCACACAGGTGGTTATGAGGAACTATTTTACGAACGCATCAGTTGATTGTTGAACGTCTATGATAAAATCCATTTGTTTGTTTCTTGTTTAACGCCGTACACACCCATATTCAAGCTGTGTATAAATAATCGAGTCTGGACCAGACAATCCAGTGATTGACATTGTGAGCATCGATCCACGCACTTGGGATACGATGACATGCATCAACCAAGTCAGCGAGCCTGACCACCTGATCCCGTTAGTCACATCTTACGACAAGCACAGTCGCCTTTTACGGCAAGCATGGGTTGCTGAAGACCTATTCTACCCCGAAACTTCACGTGTCGCTTTGATAACAGAATAGCTGAATGGCGTTATGTCCCTTAGTGGAATACGATGCCTAGTGAGTGAGTTGGGTTTAACGCCATTTTAAACAGTATTACCGTATATCACGGCATGTCAGTTCAATGTGGGAGGACAGACCAAAATCTCAGACGTTTTCTAATTTGGTGAGACCCACAAGCACAGGTATCGTGCTGACAAACCTAGACACATAGTCGGGGCGGACCGGGATTAGAAAAAACTCGATCACAGGTTTCTGGTGTCCAAAAGGATGAAACTCCACACAACGATCTACAGCGCAAAACGATGCTGACGTGTAACCATGATCTTGTTAGTTCGTCAACTGACAAGCGGCGTGATATACGTTACACTGTGTATATGATAAAAGGCCAATACTTCTTCCTGGCGATTGTCTTCATCCTACTGTATACTTATTGTCCTATATATCTGACTGCAGGCATCACCGGCACTGTCAGCATTGACGCTAACGGAGATAGGAACGCTGACTACTCGCTGCTGGATCTCAACCCCGAGTCAGAGAAGTATGAGGTATGGCGGATGTACAGGATACGTCGATGTGTCATCTTGACTGTTAGACAGATATATCGTACGTTGACAAACAGCGCGCTTGTCTCATAACTCATTTGGTATCGTTTTATTCCACCGCTTCTATCCTGACTGGGTTATGGCGTATCTCCCATACTATAAGGGAACGGTCGTGGTCACAGACTACTCACAGGCATAGCTCTAATTCTGTAAGGTAGATTGGCATCAGTCGTAGTTCCCATTCTGTAAGGTAGACTGGCAACAGTCGCAGTTCGCATTCGTTAACACAGACTTACCACAGTCGTAGCTCCCATTCTGTAAGGTAGACTGGCAACAGTCGCAGTTCGCTTTCGTTAACACAGACTTACCACAGTCGTGGGTCCCATTCTGTAAGGTAGACTGGCAACAGTCGCAGTTCGCTTTCGTTAACACAGACTTACCACAGTCGTAGTTCCCATTCTGTGAGGTAGACTGGCAACAGTCGCAGTTCGCTTTCGTTAACACAGACTTACCACAGTCGTAGCTCCCATTCTGTAAGGTAGACTGGCAACAGTCGTAGCCCCCATTCTGTGAGGTAGACTGGCAACAGTCGCAGTTCGCATTCGTTAACACAGACTTACCACAGTCGTAGTTCCCATTCTGTAAGGTGGACTGGCAACAGTTGTAGATCGCTTTCGTTAACACAGACTTACCACAGTCGTAGTTCCCATTCTGTAAGGTGGACTGGCAACAGTTGTAGATCGCTTTCGTTAACACAGACTTACCACAGTCGTAGTTCCCATTCTGTAAGGTGGACTGGCAACAGTTGTAGATCGCTTTCGTTAACACAGACTTACCACAGTCGTAGTTCCCATTCTGTAAGGTGGACTGGCAACAGTTGTAGATCGCTTTCGTTAACACAGAATTACCAGTCGTAGTTCCCATTCTGTAAGGTAGACTGGCAACAGTCGTAGATTGCATTCGTTAACACAGACTTACCACAGTCGTAGCCCCCATTCTGTAAGGTAGACTGGCAACAGTCGTAGATTGCATTCGTTAACACAGAATTACCAGTCGTAGTTCCCATTCTGTAAGGTAGACTGGCAACAGTTGTAGATTGCATTCGTTAACACAGACTTACCACAGTCGTAGTTCCCATTCTGTAAGGTAGACTGGCAACAGTCGTAGTGCCCATTCTGTAAAGTAGACTTGCAAAAGAATGATGATGATGATGATGATAAGGACGACGATGATTATTATTATTAAAAGCACGTGCTCAAGTAGATGTCTGCTAATTATAACCTTGTTTAAATCTCGGGGCATAACGATAAGAGCTGGAATTTACGTCCATGATGTATACGACTGCCAATGAATGTCTAGACGAGTCTACCGCTGGGATCGTAATGAAGATATGCTGTTGCAGCTTACTGGTCGTGACGTCTTCATTAAACCAGTTATCACAGTGTTAATGCCAGAACTGTCGAGGTGGCTCAACTCGAACGTATTTCTGGAATATAAGCGAAACATATACTGAACCGCAAAAGAAACGTCACCCCAAGTAAGATTGCATGAAAAGTTGTCATTTAAATATCTGGGCAATTTTTGTGTAAGTTTCTAAAATGTAACATTACCTTGTCCGGAAAAATGAAATTTGATGATACAAAAAACAAAGCAGATGACAATAAAACCGATCGCACAAACGTATCACGACAACGGCCATGGTAACCCGATGCACGTGAGTTCCGTGCAAATTGAAATGCACATGCGTTCCCCCATTTTTTGCCCAATAAAATTCCACCCAGATCGGATAGCATTCATTCGTTATTGAATTGCTACCACATGCCAAGATTGACAAGAAATCAGCGACACCAAGGCCTTGAACGATTGCAAGCTGGACAAACCGCCTGGCAAGTAGCCAATGCAGTTCAAGTCCAAGTAAGGATCATATACAGCGTCCAGCAACGGTACCAGACCACCAACACTGCAGATGACCGACCACGTAGTGGAAGACCATGGTCACCACCCGACGTCAGGATCATCAGATTGTGCGACAGCATCTTCACGATCGCTTTGTAACTGCTACGGAAACTGATCGACAGACCATGGGGACACACCAGCGACATATTTGTGCGGACACCGTGCGTCGACAATTGACGAGCACACACCTCCAGTGTCACAGGCCACACCGAGGACCCATTCTGACACCACGTCATCGCCGGGGCCCTTCTTCAGTGGGCAACACAGCACCAGCATTGGCGCCGCCAGCAGTGGAGAAGAGACCTCTTCTCAGACGAGAGCCGTTACTGTATCTCAACAGCAGAGAGAGTGTCTGGCAACGCCGTTGGACACTTTATTCGGATGCTATTGTAGTTGAGTTGTCCGAGCATCATGGTGTGGAGTGGAATTGTTCTTGCACAGAGGGTCGGCCCTGTGGTCTTCCAGAACATCGGTCCAGGAAGAGGCAATGGTGTCACAGCAGCTCGGTACATTGATCACGTCTTGAGACCACACGCCATACCTCATTTGGCACGTCGCCGCAACCACGAGTTTCAGCATGATAATGCCCGTGCCCACACTGCGAGAGGCTTCCTCCAGCAGAATGGCATCAGAACCTTGCAGTGGCCTGCCCTCAGTCCCGATTTAAATCCCATTGAGCCCCTGTGGGACTAGATTCAAAGACGGCTGAATGACGTCCGACCAAGGCCGACAACTGCAGTTGAACTGCATCAGGCGTTCCTCAGAGTATGGGCTCAAGTGCCTATGGCCTTCATCAACCGCCTCATCCATTCCATGTATCGACGTTGCACGGCAGTCATCAATGCACATGGCGGACACACGAGATACTGACTTGTGATGCCATTTTCTCAGAGAATAGTGTTGTGTTTCACTTTAAGAACATTTGACAATTTAATTTCAACCTTGATGATCAGTTTTGCCAAGGCTCATCTTTTTAATATGTCTCAAAGTGTGTTTCAAGTGTTTGGACAAATTAGGTTTCTCATATATCTATCCATGGTGAAGTTTCTTTTGTGGTTCAGTATATATGGTGGTGCACATATAAATATATGCAGGTGCAGGTGTGCACCTCGTAAAGGTAGAGTTAGTGAGTGAGTGACTTAACACAGCTTTGAATAGTATGCTTGGAGGTCAGCTTATCAAATTCATGTGTGAGAAAAGCCGGATGTGATGCAGGTCTCAGACGTTTGCCACTTTGGTGAAACTCACAAGCACGGGTATGGCGCTCACAAACCTAGAAACAGTCAGGGCTAACCGGCACGCACGCGTGCGGCCGGGGATCGAACCAGCGACCTTTCTCCCTCCTAGCAGACACGTTGTCAACTAGACACTAGGAGGCGTCACCTTCTGAGGAAACAAACCCAACACCATGGCTTATTTCACAGTACTAACACGTATATCCTCGAGCTGGTGTCACCTTAGTTAAAGACGTAAAGTCAGATAGAATATGTCATGTATGCAAACAAAGATACTTATAAGATGAATACCATTTTGTACTTTATCTGTAATGCTCATGACAATCTCAGGTATTTGTATAAACCCCCTAAATACTACTTATATCAAACATTACATAAATTAAACTTATTAATGTCTTCAAAAAATCAAGAAGCTGTTCAAAATCTTGCAACGTTTGTATATAATTCAATGTTACTTAGACAATCATTTGGGTGAACAATGTATATGAATCTACCAATGTATATATGCTGTTACTCTTTCAAGCAATGAGGGGACACGGGTGGCCCAGTCGTCTAAGGCGCCGCGATTCGCTGTCCAGAGTTGCGTCCCTTGGGCACGCCAGAAACCTATGATTGTGGGCTCGAATCCCGGTTCGCCCCGATTATGTTTCTAGGTTTGTCAGCACTATACCCGTGCTCGTGGGTTTCCGAGACCTGCAACCCTTCGGGCTTTCCTCCCACATTAAGCTGACACGCCGTGATATAACTGGAATACTGTTAAAAGCGGCGTTAAACCAAACTCGCTCACTCACTCACTCACTCACTCAAGAATTGATGTAACTTTAGAATGGGCCTATGGCCTCCACTACTTTATGAATAAAGAAGATAGATAGATAATCGAAAGTGTGGCGTTGAACAAATATAACAAAATTCTGAAACAAATATTGCAATATTAATATAATTATTTATTTTGGTGCAATTCAAAGATCTTTCTTATAAAGATGTTTTAAAACACTATGGAAATAAATATTTATAATATTATGACTGCAAAGTATATAACAATCTTAATGTGATGTTTACGTTACAGGTAGTGGCTAATTACTATGGCAACCGACGACGCTATGAGCCTGTAGCTGGCAAGAGGGTGTACTGGGCGGGGGGACTGGACTCTCCCCCTGCAGACACCCCTGAATGCGGCTTTGACGGGTCGAAATGTCCCCCTGACGGTAAGATGTTCTTCGGTGAAATTAACAGATAAATTTATTCAAAGTTATCATGTCTTTGGTGTAAACGATCAGATTCGGTCCAGCAGCCTATGCTTGTAAAAAGACAAAAAAAACAATTTAGTTGGTCGGGAAATCAGGCTCGATTGATAGCATATCATCGTACCCGGCGGGGTTGGACGTGTTCATGATATCAATCACTGGATTGTGTGGTCGACTCGATTATATACAGACCGCCATCATGTTGGAATATTGCTGAGAGAGGCGTCAAAAAGACAACAAACAAAATTTTAATAAATACACTCATGAATTGCCGGGCGATGATGTTGTGCGAAACATGGACGTAAATATTCCAAAACACACAGTAACATTTATACATGTTCATCTGGGAAGACAATCCAAATTACGAACCACACCCGTGAACATCCGGGGTAAAATAGGTCTTCAGCAACCCATGCTTGCCTTAAAAGGCGACTATGCTTGTCGTAAGAGGCAACTAACGGGATCGGGTGATCAGGCTCGCTGACGTGGTTGATGCATGTCATCGTATCCCAATTGCGTGGATCGATGCTCATAATGTTAATCACTGGATTGTTTGGTCCAGACTCGATTACATACAGACCGCCGTCCTGTTGTTGGACTATTGCTGAGTAAGGCGTCAAACAAACAATCAATTACACATTGCTTTTTGCGCCATTCCCTTTGTGCGATTGCAGGACAAGACAGACCCCAAGGAATGCAAGGGTTTCGTAAGAGACGACTAAAATGACGATTAGGTGGACAGTATGCCTGACCATGTAGATTGGGGTATCAACCACTGGTGTGCCTCGCCCAGATAACTGAATTTAAAACCTTTCGAGATAAAGCCTGAATATTGCCATAAAATAACATTCACTCACTATAAATGTTTCATCATGTCAGTTGCGTTATTATACTGACCCCGTAGTGCCGACCGCCAGGCAGGGAAACAACAAGCACCATCCTCTAAAGTCATTTGGTATGACCCGGCCGGGGATCGAACCGCCGACCGTCTGATCTTTGGGCACACGCGCTATCCACAAGGTCACGGGGTCGATAGTTGAGTTAGAAAATGCGAAATGATATATTCATGTCTTAACCGTCATTATACAAAACAACGCTGAGATAATTAGAACATGGGCCAAGCGAAGATTACTGGCAAGCGTTGTCATCTGTTACAGAACCCTTCCCAGAATATGGTATCGTCATCATTGTGCTCGGCTCCGTCCTCCTCGTGGTCCTCATCGTCACATTCTTTGTGTACAGGTGAGTCAAGGGAGATCACTCTATCCAAGGGAGATAACTAGGAAGAATCCTATTCAAATTCCATACAGTTACCGAAACACTGCAAACCTAAGGTCAAAAATCCCATTCTTTGTGTACAGGTGAGTCAAGGGAGATCACTCTATCCAAGGGAGATAACTAGGAAGAATCCTATTCCAATTCAATACACAGTTACCGAAACACTGCCAACCTAATGTCCAAAATCCCATTCTTTGTGTACAGGTGAGTCAAGGGAGATCACTCTATCCAAGGGAGATAACTAGGAAGAATCCTATTCAAATTCCATACAGTTACCGAAACACTGCAAACCTTAGGTCCAAAACCCCGTTTACATCACTATCGATTGACGATTTCACCTATACATTACTGTACATCTAAGCTGGTTGAACGAAGCGGAAGAATTCTCCCTCTTCAACATTTTCTGAACTATGCCTCTGTAGCCAGGTGCACTTTGCCTGTTACGCGACTTCATCATCCATTCACTGTCATCCATATTTTAGAACAAGTGACAGTGATGCAGTGTATCAGAATAGTCTCGTATTTAAATTGAAACATTATGAAGTATGAAGGATTTGGCCTGTCAGTTAAACATGCGTGTGTCGTGGGTAAGCTGACGCATCCGGTGGTGGAGTCACAGATTTGACCCTGATTCTGACAACCACAGCAGTGCGCTCTTTTTCATTTCGGTTGGAAGGTCCACGATCTCAATTAGGATCACTTCTTCCCTTCAACCCACATTAAGCTGACACGCCTCGATGTAAAGAGTTGCCAATCCTTTACTGACTCCCTATGGGTACTCAGAGTTTTAGGATTGACAAAACGATATCTAATACGTGCATTTTAAGAGTGGGTATGTGTTGTACAATAAACGTGTGTGTGTGTTGTACAATAAACGTGTGTGTGTGTGGTAATATACGTGTGTGTGTGTGTGTGTGTGTGTGAGTGTGTGTGTGAGAGATATACGTGTGTGTGTGTGTGTGTGTGTGTGTGTGTGTGTGTGTGTGTGTGTGTGTGTGTGTGTGTGAGGTAATATACGTGTACGTGTGTGTGTGTGTTTGTGTGTGTGAGAGAGAGGTTATATACGGGTGTGTGAGGTAATATACATGTGTGTGTGTGGATATATACGTGTGTGTGTGTGGATAACGGGTGTGTGTGGTAATGTACGGGTGTGGATATATACGTGTGTGTGTGTGTGTGTGTGTGGGGGGGGGGGGCAATGTACGCATGTGTGTGGATATATACGTGTGTGTGCAGTAGTATACGGAATTGTGGTAGTATAGGGTTTCTGTGTGTGGAAATATACGTGTGTGTGTGGATATATACGGGTTTGTTTGTGCTAATATACGGTGTGTGTGGTAATATAGGGGTGTGTGTGTGGTTATATACGTGTGTGTGGTAATATGCATGTGTGTGTAGATATATACATGTGTGAGGAAATATACGTGTGTGTGTTGATATATACGGGTTTTGTGTGTCATAATATACGGTGTGTGTGGTAATATAGGGATGTGTGTGTGATAATATACGTGTGTGTGTGTGTGGTCATATACGTGTGTGTGTGTGTGTGGTGTTGTGTGTGTGTGTGTGTGCGCGCGCGCTAATGAACGTGCGTGTGCTTATATACCGGTGTGTGTGACAGGCACATCCGACTGGAGGCGGAACTAGCGGAGATGAACTGGAGAGTGAGGTGGGATGACATCATGTTCGGAGCACCGGAGAAGAACCGGAAGTTGGAGAGACAGGGAAGTCGGTATAGCCTCAACAGGGTGAGCTGACCTTGACATTCAGACACTTGACGTCATTACGCACAATCACGGGGCCACAAACTGATCGTAACTTCCACACTCTAACACAAACTTACGACAGGATTAGGATGAATTTGTGGAAAGGCAAACACGACTGCTGTATTCAAGACTGCAGTCATACAGTCATGATTCATCATGACTTTGGAATACATTTTCAAAATTAAATACCCCGTGCTGCTCGTTCGACGAAATTTCTTTCAAATACGATTACATTTGCAGATAACATGACTGCTCTTTTGCTTCTGACCCGTGTAGATCCAAGGTAGAATTGGTCTTCAGAAACCCATGCTTGCCGTAAAAGGCGACTGCGCTTGTCATAAGAGGCGACAAACGGGAATGGGTGGTCAGGCTCGCTGACTTGGTTGATGCATGTCATCGTATCCCAAATTCGTGGATCGATGCTCATGATGTCAATCACTGGATTCTGGTCCAGACTCGATTTTTTACAGACTGCCGTCATATAGCTGGAATATTGCTGAGTGCGGCGTTAAACAAAAGAACATTGCATCTTTGGCTTCTCATCTTTCACAACCATACTAGCTATGCCTCGATGGTAATAACAACACACATTGTATCGCATTCTCCACACGTCTCATCGTGGTTCCTACAATCCACTTCCGTCCTGTTGCAGAGGTACTCCTACGTCAGTGACTGTTCCAGGGATACAATAGCTGTACAGCTGGGGGATGTCAACAGACAGCTGTTTACAAAGACCGGATACTTTAGGGTACGTCAACAGACAGCTGTTTACAAAGACCGGATACTTAGGGTATGTCAATAGACAACTGTTTACCAAGACCGGATATTTTAATGTTCTTCACAGACAACTGTTTAGGAAGACCGGGCACTTTAAGGTATGTCAACAGACAACTGTTACAAAGCCCGGATACTTTAATGTTCGTCACAGACAACTGTTTAGAAAGACCGTATAATTTTAGGTACGTAAAGAGACAACTATTTGCGAAGCCGTTAATCCCGTAATAGGATATCCCTAGATCTCTGTTTAGCGGTAGTGAGCACTAAGATCTTATCTTAAAGTGATTGCAAATACCATGAGTTATGTAGAAGTAGATTCACAGTTGGTGTATGTCACTTATGTATTTTGACGGACGAGCCAATCTGGTCTGTGCTTTAATGCTATGACACATTTCATATCAGGTGGAAATCGTACTCTTATTTTCACGTGAGTGAGTGAGTGAGTGAGTGAGTGAAATTTATCGTCACATCGGCAGTATTTCAGCCATATCGTGACGAAACAGTTATAATAATTATATTTTGATTTAATTAAAAAGCTGTCAACGATGGACAGTAAGATCACTAGAGCATCACAGTTTCGATGTTAAAACTAGTTGAGAACAGTTAAAAGAATACATTTTCATTCCACAATACAATATAAAAAAGGGCTAAAGATCACCAGCAGCCAAAGTGAGGCCACCTCACTAGGGACCGAGGGGACTTACATTACTTTTGCTACCTGCACGGCTCCCCAGCAGGATTTACACCAACCCTTCAGCTGCTGGTAATGGTATGCAATTAAGCCAACAGTTAAAATAAACAATTATACTACGTTTAAAACCGATGTAAGAATAAATGTACTTTGAATGATGTGGTCTTACATATCCTCTCCGGGGGATATTTTCCCGTGAAGATTCCGGGGTAGCGTTGGTCTTCAGGAACCCAGCCTTGTTGTAAGAGGTGACTTACGGGGTCGGGTTGTCAGGCTCGCTGACTTGGTTGATGCATTTCATCCTATCCCAATTGTGCTGATCGATGAGCATGATGTCAATTACTGGATTGTCTGGTCCAGACTCGATTATTTATGACTTCAGTCATATAGCTGAAGTAGTGCGGCGTTTAACAACAAACAAACAAGAAAACAGACAAATCGTACTGTTTATGAAAATAAAGCATATCTGCATGAATATGATTTCAAAATATTAGCGAAAACATATAGTGTGTTTCTGCATTGTTTTTTTTATCTGCTGAGTAAGTGTAAAATAAGTGTAAAATAGTCCTTAGAATGATATCCTGGTACCTGACGTACAATATTTTTGCGTGAAAGAGTTGGTTTAAACCATTGAATGAACAGACTCATTGTTGGTATTTTCAGGGAGCGATTATAGCTATCAAGACCATAGCTAGACAACACATTACCATTCATAAACCCCTGCTGCTGGAGGTGAAAAAGGTAAGCTACAGAGAGTGAGTGAGTGAGTATTGTTTTACGCCGCTTTAGCAATATTCCAGCAATATTACACTAGAAATGAGCTTTACACATTGTACCCATGTCGGCAATCGAACCCGGGTCTTCGGCGTGACGAGCGAACGCTTTAACCACTAGGCTACCCGACCGCCCCCTAAGCTATAGAGGTGTTGTAATGTAGCAGTGTCAGTAGTGTTAGAGGTCCGGGTCGATGTAGTAGCAGCATCTGTAGTGTAAGTCGTCTGGGTCGCTGCTGTGTAGCAGAATGTGCCCTTGAAGTAAAACACACGAGGGCGAACACGACAATGTCACAGTTTGCAGTAGCAGAAGCAGCAGTAGTATTATCAGTTGCAGATTTAAAATTATTAATAGTAGAAGTAGTCGGAGTAGTAGTAGTAGTAGTAGTAGTAGTAGTAGTAGTAGCAGTAGTGCCGCAGCAGTAGCAGCAATACTACCACCACTACTACTACTACTAGAATCATGTCAATAGATCCCAACACCCTCGCTCTTCCCTCAATCGCTTCTATTTACCAATCATAATTGGGGGCAGTGGTTTAGACACTAATGTGATTGACAAGACTGAGGGAAATCATGCAGACCTCGCTTTCGAAATGTCACGCTTGCATCCCAAGTACCAAGTTGTCCGACTTCAGCAACCGATGCTGGGCGTAAAAGGCGACTATGCTTGTCGTAAGAGGCGACTAACGGGATCGGGTGGTCAGGCTTGCTGACTTGGTTAATGCATGTCATCGTATCACAATTGCATATATCGATGCTCACGATGTCAATCACTGGATTGTCAAGTCCAGACACGATTATTTACAGACCGTCGTCATATAGCTGGAATATTGCTGAGTGCAGCGTTAAACAACAAACAAACAAAAGTAAATCACGTTTGAGGTCTACTTGTCAATTTTTTTTTTTTGGTATTTTTTTTTTTTTTTCTACTTGTCAATATGTCACGGCTTCAGTTGACTCACAAGACACAATGGTATTTCACGTTCCCCTTTCAGATCAAGGACTTGCAGAACGACCACCTCGTGAGATTTATAGGCGCCTGCATCGACCCTCCGCACCAGTGCATCCTCACAGAGTACTGCCCTAAAGGAAGCCTGCAGGTATGTCCGGTCGGCAATGGACTCGTCACGCTTCCATAGTTTGGACCAGTTGTCCGGAATTGCCGGACCATCCTGTCGGAATGTCTATGTTATCTATCCAATATTTCTTCGAACCCATGTTTCGTTACAGTTGCTATGTTTTTTATCCAAATAAGGACATTGGGAGCTTTTCTGTCCGTACTAACGAGGTTTTACTTTGAGTTAATAACACCCTTCAGTTGTCAAAGATGATGTTTACTTCAGTAAAATGGGTATTAAATCTACAATTGAGGTACTGGAAGAAACAATCCCCAGTTCCAATGTTAGAAAGTACATGTTCTGTTAATTTTCTAACTTTTAAAGTTATATTTTACGTTTCTGAATATTTACAAGCAATTGAAATCCATGAGGCTGCAATGCAGCAGATCAAACCTGATTAATGCACATGTTATGGGGCAAGTTTAACACTGCAATAGCAGTACATCTGCCGCGGGCGATCTGAGGCGCCACAGCTCACTGTGCGGAGTTACGTCCCTTACTCTTTCACTCACTATGAAAACAGTTATTGTCTTCAGTATGTCCTTGGCAACTCACTGTGCGGAGTTACGCCTCTTACTCTTTCACTCATTTTGAAAACAGTTATTGTCTTCAGTATGTCCTTGGCAACTCACTGTGCGGAGTTACGTCCCTTACTCCTTCACTCATTTTGAAAACAGTTATTGTCTTCAGTATGTCCTTGGCAACTCACTGTGCGGAGTTACGTCTCTTACTCTTTCACTCATTTTGAGAACAGTTATTGTCTTCAGTATGTCCTTGGCAACTCACTGTGCGGAGTTACGCCCCTTACTCTTTCACTCATTTTGAAAACAGTTATTGTCTTCAGTATGTCCTTGGCAACTCACTGTGCGGAGTTACGTCCCCTACTCTTTCAATCACTATGAAAACAATTATTGCCTTTAGGGCGTCCTTGACAACTCATTGTGAAGGGTTGTGTCCCTTTCTCATGCATCCACTTACGGGGGTCACAGGTGGCCCAGTCGTCTGAGGCGCCGCGATTCGCTGTGCAGAGTTACGTCCCTTTTGCACGCCAGAAACCTATGATTGTGGGTTCCAGTCCCGGTTCGCCCCGATTATGTTTCTAGGTTTGTCAGCACCATACCCGTGCTGGTGGGTTTCACCGAAGTGGTAAACGTCTGAGACCTGCATCACTTCGGGCTTTCCTCCCACATTAAGCTGACACGCCATGATATAACTGGAATACTGTTAAAAGCGGCGTTAAACCCAACTCACTCACTCACTCATCCACTTACAATCACTTTAATGAACACTATAACTACCTACAGGATGTCCTGGAGAATGAGCAGATCAAGCTGGACTGGATGTTCCGCTACTCTATAATGCAGGACATCGTAAGGGTAAGTGGAATAATAATAATAATAATAATAATAATAATAATAATAATAATAATATGCAGACTTCGCTTCCGAAATGTCACAGATGCATCCCAAGAACCAAGTTGTCCGACTCCCCATTGTTCTCGGTGCCTTAGGTTTGGTACTTCCCAATCTGTTGACTGACACCGGGAGAGTACCCGGGTTTGCTACCAGGAATACGGCCCTTCTGACAATCTGGGTAATGCAGAAGGCTGCAGTGTCGGGGAGTCTTCACATTCTCCGAATAGATCTGGGTGGGTTTGACTGGGCAGCGCTTCCTGGGAGAAGTCCCATTCGCTGTCTGGGCTGCGTGTAGAGGGGACAAGGGCTCTGAATGGGGAGCCTAACCAGTCTGACTGTGCCAGGTTCACCCAAACCCTCTTTGCTGCATTTTTTATTTTAATCTTTAAATAATAATAATAATAATAATAAGAAGAAGAAAAATAATAATAATAATCAGAAGAAGAAGAAGAAGAAAAATAATAATAATAATCTCCCTTCTGAGATATAATGTACATTATGTGTTTTTTTCTACTTACATAATGCCTCATACATTTAGTCGGAAGTTTCAAATGATAAAAATCTCCGAGCAGCTGTTGTCTGTTTTAACACGCTGTGATTCTCTGATGACACTCACCATTTGTTACCAGGGCATGGCCTACTTGCACAGTACAGATGTCCATTGCCATGGCAACCTGAAGAGCACCAACTGTGTGGTGGACAGCAGGTTCGTGGTGAAGATCACAGACTTCGGCCTCCACTACTTCCGGGAGACCGATGACGACATGGCGGAGGACACGTACGCCTACTACAGAAGTGAGAACGTGCACGTGGATCTCACGTGGAACATCGTGAAGTCACCGTTAACACAGAATCTGTCCTAAGTTAGATCTGCTTGCCATACGAGGCGATATGTCTGAACACTGGATTGTTTGATCCAGACCTCGATTACATTTTTTTACAAACCGCCGTCACATAGATGCGGCGTTAAACAGCCATCAAACAAACAAACCTAAAACATGTGTGTCTTCTGAATCATTGCTGAGTGTTTTCACGCTATTGATGTCACCACAAATCCAAAAAAATCAAAGTCTTTTTCCAAACTTGATAAGTGAGATCTGTGCCAAAATTCCCTATGCTCAATTTGATGTTTCTCTATTGATGTCACCACTCGAAGTCAGAGTCTTTTTCCAAGCTTGATAAGTATGTGAGATCTGTGCTAAAACTCACTCTGTTACGTGCTACTTTCACAATTAAATGTTTCTCTATTGATGTCACCACTCGAAGTCAAAGTGGTTTTCCAACCTTGATAAGTATGGGAGATCTAGATCTGTGCCAAAATTCACTATGCTGCGTGCTACTTTCACAATTCAAACTCTTTCTTGTATGCAAGATTCCCAGATTCCCTGTTATCACCATCGAGTTCAATGACCTCTGTGAAACATGTGTCCAGATGTGGATTATATTGGATTGCACTGGATTATTGTAGATTGTTTTGTATTGTACAATCTGTGTCATTCAGTACGATGTTCGCGAAAAAGGATAGTCATACTCATACTTAGAATGCCCTATATCCTACGCCGTGAAGATTCCGGGGTAGAATAGGTCTTCAGCAACCCATTCTTGCCGTAAAAGGTGACTGTGCTTGTCGTAAAAGGCGACTAACGGGATCGGGTGGTCAGGCTCGCTGACTTGGTTGATGAATGTCATCGATCCCAATTGCGTGGATCGATGCTCATGATATCAATCGCTGGATTGTCTGGTCCAGATTCGATTATTTACAGACCGCCGTCATATAGCTGGAATATTGCTGAGTGCGGCGTTAAACAACCAACCAACCAACCAACCAACTATATCCTACGACGCATGTATCTTGGAGGTGACAATATTTATGAGCAGGGGTGTATAACAATATGATGGTATTATCAATTCCAGGAATTGAAAATAAAAAAAATTCAAAATGTTATTTTCATGCTCCCCATGGTGTATTGTGTGAAGCCAATTTTTTCAATGATGCAACTGGAATAAACGCTCATATGGGCGCATTACCACACTCAACCACCAGTTCAGTAATGAAACTTCAGAAACAGAACAGGATTAACTCAGGATAACATAATTCTAAAGTGCTGGACAATGCTACCATCCACTGCAGGTAAACTGTGGTCGGCGCCGGAGTTACTGCGCATGAACAGTCGGCCACCAGAGGGCACCACCAAAGGTGACGTGTACAGTTTCGCCATCATCTGTCAAGAGATTGTCTACAGGAACGGGGTCTTCTACCTACATAACCTGGACGTGGGACCACAGGGTAGGTGCAGATTTTCTGTGTTTCTTGCATCCATGGTGTATCATGTGTGTATCCGGTGTGTATTCAGGGTGTAACTATGGTGTATCCAGTGTGTATCCTGTGTCTATTCAGGGTGTATCCTGTGTGCATATCCTGTATCATGTGTGTATCCGGTGTGTATTAAGGGTGTAACTATGGTGTATCCAGTGTGTATCCTGTGTCTATTCCGGGTGTATCCTGTGTGCATATCCTGTATCATGTGTGTATCCGGTTTGTATTAAGGGTGTAACTATGGTGTATCCTGTATCATGTGCAGCGGGTGTGAATCTTGTTTCCAGCTCAGATGTATTTCGCGTCAACCACGTGGATCTTGTGCGCGTCGGATGGTCATCAGTCTTGTGAAGGCCGCGTGAACATCGCGGGGATACCGCGTTAACATTGCGTTACGTTTTCGTTAATATCGCACACGGATCATTTCATACATGCCTCGAGATTCCTTACTTTGACATGGTCGGTCATATATTGATGAAACTGGATAACACGCTACATACTTTAAACTATTAACACCAGTTTAGGTTCCGATGTTTTTAACATTCTCCGTTTATTAGCCGTTCCCAATATTTTCCTGGCCTCGTCATGCCAAAAATTGTTAAATGATGTTGTTACCCTGCCTGACAGTCGGCATTACAGTATAAAACAAGGAATGGTCGGCTCGGAGCCAGTATTTGCCTGAGTACAACATTTGTGTTTACACTGCGGCTTAGTATTTCAGTGGACTAGCTCTGTAAAGCCCATATACACAAGAATCAGACACACATACACTTATGCACGTCACTAAATAGATGAAATAATCGTGAACGCGTCGTTAAACCCACATACATTTTACCACATCTCACCGTTCCAAATATACCGCCCAGAACACATGTTGTCGAACACTGAAACAGTTACCTGGTCCAGCAGTCGCTGATTTGTACCCTCTTGCTTGCCTTACCTTTGCATGTGTTTGTGACGTTGCCACCGATGGGGCATGGTACGCTAACTTCTTCAAAAATACCTGCTCATGATGTAATGGGACTCGTGCAATAAACATATTATTTTTTATCATGAAAAGGGGCTTTTCGATTTACTTATTCTGAACTCAAGACTTTTCTCTGACATGTTATGAAAGGTTCAACCAGGTGCGTGTGTGACACAACATACTCCTATTACAAGTGTCACATTCCTACTGTCCATGATCTGTGTGAACACTATATTTGCAGAAGTCATTGAGAAGTTAAAAAGCGGTCTTAGGCCCTACTTCCGGCCGACAATCGAGGAGTTTGACTGCCCCTGTGACGAGCTTGCTGAGGTCATCAAACGGTGCTGGGCAGAAGATCCGGCCGAGAGACCCGACTTCCAGTCTCTCAAGACTATCATTAGGAAGCTAAACAAGTAAGTGCTGCAGATGGTCAGCTTGTGACTGAGTGAGTATGGTTTTACGCCGCTTTTAGCACTATTCCAGCAATATCACGGCGGGGGACACCAGATATGGGCTTCACACATTGTACCCATAGTCAGCTTGTATTATACAGGCAGAATATAAACCTGAACAGACTATGACGTGTAATAAATGTCCCATCATGGCATGTTCCTGGACACGGAGATGACGGACAGTCTGATATTTACGTTTTACGTGATAGTTGAAACGGTGTATATGTTAAAGTCAGTGTGTGCAATCAGACAGTGTGTAAAATGACTTAATTTTTTATTTGGGCAATAAATTATTTACAAAACACCAAATATTTCAGTGATTTTTACAAATTGACTGAAATACATGTCCATTTATTTGGTTATAATAAGTGACGAATTCCAAACATTTCGATGTTTAAATTCATCGCCCAGTGACTTAAAATGATAGGATTAAAAGAAAACAAAAGTCAGTGTATCTGTTTATTTCTGGCTTCTAATCCTAGCATATGTAGTCTTGTTTTGTGTTTTAAGCCCCTTTGAACCTGATGTCTATCAACCGCTCAAGTAAATGGACAGATTTTTCAGTAAATTAATAAACGACTGAACTTTTTAGGCATTTTTATACATTGCGTAAGCAAATCACATTTACACATGGACTGGTTTTACACGCTGACGCCAAAACTATATAGAGAACGTGAAAGATCAGCCACAGCTGATATCCAGCTTGGAGCAATGTATGATTTCAATACTAAAGCGATATATTTGTTTCAAATTAGATCAACAAAGCAAACATGTGATATTATTATGCCTCAAAGTGATATTTACCAATCAGAGAGCAGAATTGCTTACCCCATATAAGCCCGTACACCGTCGGTAAAAAAACCAAGATGGTTGTTACTGAGTGAGTGAGTGAGTATGGTTTTACGCCGCTTTTAGCAATATTCCAGCAATATCACGGCGGGGGACACCAGAAATGGGCTTCACACCTTGTACCCATGTCGGGAATCGAACCCTGGTCATTGGCGTGACGAGCTTACGCTTTAACCACTCGGCTACCCTACCGGTCCTGTTGTTACTGACCTGATATGAGACCATATCCCAGTAACAGCCATTTTGGATCTTCCTCTCCCTTTGACCCTTAACGTCAACGGTAATAATTGTCAAGTTTTCGTTTTGACATGACAGGTGCGATATGGATACCAGATAGTGTAAATTTTTCGGCATGATAAATTTAACATGGTAAAATGACACCGTATACAGCACCTAAAGACTCCATAACTAATAATATACTGTTCAAATCCCAATTGCTCCCTGGTTGTGCTTCATTTGACACCAACATGTTGTGCTGTCCCGGATGGGTCGATGTATGATTTGATGTAACATAATATTTGATTGGCTGTTTCCTGGGAGGGTGACAAGGGCGATATCCTTGACAACCTGCTGTCCCGGATGGATCGATGTATGATTGGTTGTAACATGTTATTTGATTGGCTGTTACCAGGGAGGGTGACAAGGGCGACATCCTTGACAACCTGCTGTCCCGGAGGGTCGATGTACGATTGGTTGTAACATGATATTTGATTGGTTGTTACCAGGGAGGGTGACAAGGGCGACATCCTTGACAACCTGCTGTCCCGGAGGGTCGATGTATGGTTGGATGTAACATGATATTTGATTGGCTGTTACCAGGCAGGGTGACAAGGGCGACATCCTTGACAACCTGCTGTCCCGGATGGGTCGATGTATGATTGGATGTAACATGATATTTGATTGGCTGTTACTAGGGAGGGTGACAAGGGCGACATCCTTGACAACCTGCTGTCCCGGATGGAGCAGTACGCCAACAATCTGGAGGCGCTGGTGGAGGAGAGGACATCGGACTACCTGGAACAGAAGAAGCGGGCGGAGGACCTGCTGTACATGATGTTGCCGAGGTGAGCCGGAGACCACTGTGGATCTCTGTTTTACTCATTGCGGTGTGAGGCGGAGACGGTTGTGTCCTGGAGGGTCTCTGTTATGCTCATTGCGGGGTGAGACGGAAACGGATGTGTCCTGGTGGGTCTCTGTTACTCAGTGCTGGTGGAGACTGAGACGGTTGTGTCCTGGAGGATCTCTGTTACTCAGTGCGGGGTGAGAAGGAGACGGTTGTGTTCTGGGGGGTCTCTGTTACTCAGTGCGGGGTGAGACGGAGACGGCTGTGTCCTGGTGGGTCTCTGTAACTCAGTGCTGGTGGAGACGGAGACGGCTGTGTCCTGGTGGGTCTCTGTTACTCATTGCGGGGTGACACCGAGACAGTTGTGTCCTGGAGGGTCTCTGTTACTCAGTGCTGGTGGAGACAGAGACGGTTTTGTCCTGGAGGGTCTCTGTTACTCAGTGCTAGGTGAGACAGTTGTGTCCTGGAGGGTCTCTGTTGCTCAGTGCTGGGTGAAACGGAGACGGTTGTGTCCTGGAGGGTCTCTGTTACTCAGTGCTGGTTGAGACGAAGGCTATTGTGTCCTGGAGGGTCACTGTTACTCAGTGCTGGTTGAGACGGAGACGGTTGTATCCTGGAGGGTCTCTGTTACTCAGTGCTGGTTGAGATGGAGACGGTTGTGTCCTGGAGGGTCACTGTTACTCAGTGCGGGGTGAGACGGGGACGGTTGTGTCCTGGTGGGTCTCTGTTACTCAGTGTTTGGTTGAGACGGAGACGGTTGTGTCCTGGAGGGTCTCTGTTACTCAGTGCGGGGTGAGACGGAGACGGTTGTGTCCTGGTGGGTCTCTGTTACTCAGTGTTTGGTTGAGACGGAGACGGTTGTGTCCTGGAGGGTCTCTGTTACTCAGTGCGGGGTGAGACGGAGACGGAGACAGTTGTGTTCTGGAGGGTCTCTGTTACTCAGTGCGGGGTGAGACGGAGACGGAGACGGAGACGGAGACGGTTGTGTCCTGGAGGGTCTCTGTTACTCACTGCGGGGTGAGACGGAGACGGAGACAGTTGTGTCCTGGTGGGTCTCTGTTACTCAGTTCGGGGTGAGACGGAGACGGAGACAGTTGTGTCCTGGTGGGTCTCTGTTACTCAGTTCGGGGTGAGACGGAGACGGAGACAGTTGTGTCCTGGTGGGTCTCTGTTACTCAGTGCTGGTGGAGACGGAGACAGTTGTGTCCTGGTGGGTCTCTGTTACTCAGTGCGGGTTGAGACGGAGACACATTTGTCCTGGAGGGTCTCTGTTACTCATTACGGGGTGAGACAGAGACGTTTGTGTCCTCGACGGTCTCTCTTACTCAGTGCTGGTGGAGAAGGAGACGGTTGTGTCCAGGATGGTCTCTGTTACTCAGTGCTGGTGGAGACGGAGACGGCTGTGTCTATGAGGGTCTATCCAAGCGTCTCAGAATATATTTGAGTAGATACGGCAACTCATATAACCACATGTTCCCGCTGTGCTGTAGTTGCCTTTATCTATGAGTATAGAGAATATGTGTTTCTGTTTGATACTCCTACCATGTGCGATTTTTTTTTCAAATGCGTTGAATATATTCAGATATGGATGTTAACGCTCTTTGCATGCATTTACATTCTGCGAGACAAGCAATACACAGATGTATAGTACGTGAATGATGCTACGCCCTGTATATCCCACAGGAGCGTCGCCAACCAGTTGGTGAAGGGGGAGTCTGTGGCAGCGGAATCCTACGAGCAGGTGACCATCTACTTCAGCGACATCTGCGGCTTCACAGCTATGTCTGCAGAGAGCACGCCTATGCAGGTCAGTGGCAGTATGTTACGAGTATAATATAACTGATAAAACAAAGAACGCACATGTTTATCCATGGTTAAGTCACATACAGTCAGTATCAAAGAGCTGTGGAATATCTCGGAAGTATTTTATCGCCTTTTAATTTTGAAAGCCGTTTGCTTGTGTCAACTGTGGAAAGAATACTGAAAGATCATTATATTCCAAAATGGTGAAATGATACCATGTCAAGTTCTAAAGGTACATATTACCTAATATCTAAAACAAATACCTTCTTTTAGCAGCTACTGATTTTGGACGAAAACTATTGTCCTTCCTATACTAAAATAGTGCGGACGGGTTTCATTATATTTTCCGCTACGAAGGATTTCATTATTAATGATTATTGTCTATACCACACAAATATTTAAAACTTTCGAACCTATTTGCATATAAACGCCTATTTTGTACTTCCAATTCTAAAGAATTAAAATGTTTATCAGAAAATATTCAATAAGTTACAAACTCACAAATTATATTAGCCATTGTGTTATATGATATGTCATGCACATGAATAACAATGTTCTACTTTGTTATCTACTCTTGTACCACTTATGGTTGCCTTTATGGACAAAGAAAAGACTCAAAACTCAAGATGTAACTTGGTTATATTAAAGTGCCCAGCCCCGCCCCTCCACGCCCCGCCACGCCCTGCCCCTGTTCTCAGCTTTCAAATCACTGTTTTTGTTTCCAATTCAGGTTATAGCCCTGCTCAACGATCTGTACACCACATTCGATTCAATCATTGAAAACTTCGATGTTTATAAGGTAAGACCACTTTCAAGTCGTTCACAATCATCTCTTTATTCACTGTTATATTTTCTGACTTCCCTCGTTAATGGCTTTTTTCACCCTCATGTAGCCACATTGATGAAACAGTTGCTCTTCTTTTCTCTGCAGAAATCCGGGTTCGATTCCCAACTTGAGTACAAAGTAGGAACTATCTCGGTGTCCTCATCAGTTATATTGTTGGAATGTTGTTAAAAGCGGCATAAAATCACATTAACTACATGTAACCATAATAAGTCCAGAGAACAACTCGACATGTCGACACTCGGCTGTGCAGAGTTTTGTTCAATAGTTGTTACGGGGGCACGGGTGGCCCAGTCGTCTAAGGCGAGAAATACTTGGCTTATTAAACATATAAATCGTAAACACAACTGTAAATATTGTTGGTCATAAAATAATCTGTGAGGCCATGAGCTAAGTGTAAACACACTGTCCGTTATGAAGGAACCGTTTTTATGTCACGCATGTGGCAACCCAACAGTGCATGGAACACGGTGGGATGCAGCTTGTGTTGGATGATCCCCAGGGAGCTGAGAATGAAAATCGAGCGCACACTAAACCATTGGCCGGGGTATTAATGTATCACTTTGAGCATGCTTTAGGGTGTGGATTTGGTGCATTATAAATTGTATTGTGTACCGTGTCGCTTCAGGTGGAGACAATCGGGGACGCCTACATGGTGGTGTCTGGTCTCCCGATACGGAACGGCAACCTGCACGCCCGGGAGATATGTCGGATGTCGCTGTCAATCCTAGACGCTGTACTGTCTTTCAAAATAGGTCATATGCCAAACAGGCAGCTTAAACTCCGCATAGGCTTACACACAGGTGGGTAGAGAGAGAGAGAGAGAGAGAGAGAGAGAGAGACAGAGAGAGAGAGAGAGAGAGAGAGAGAGAGTGTGTGAGAGAGCACGCCAGAAACCTATGATTGTGGGTCCGAATCCCGGTTCGCCCCAATTATGTTTATAGGTTTGTTAGCACCATACCCGTGCTCTTGGGTTTCACCGAAGTGGTAAACGTCTGAGACCTGCATCACGTCGGGCTTTCCTCCCACATTAAGCTGACACGTCGTGATATAACTGGAACACTGTTAAAAGCGGCGTTAAACCCAACTCACTCACTATTATATTTTTTATATCGCATATAAATGAGTACAGAGCAAGAAGCAGGGATGTAGATAATACTTAAGTCCAGAGACAGAGATACGTGTATCATACACCAGGCAGCGACGATGAGTATTAACTCCAGCTTCAAACCATTTGCTCAGTTACGATACCTACGATACCTACGATCTACCCTAGATTTGTCATGACCGTGTACAGTGATCTTGTTTGTCTCCAGGGTCGGTGTGTGCGGGGGTGGTCGGGCAGAAGATGCCGAGGTACTGTCTGTTTGGGGACACCGTCAACACGACCTCAAGGATGGAATCGAACGGACTGCGTGAGTTTCAGTATAGTTTCTGAAGCCAGTCGTTGCTGTCATATTTACTGAGTTGCTGGTATAATTACCGTTTCATTCAATAATTGTTTCACACTTTCCTGATCCAAACAAATATTTTGTCGTCTATCAGTGACGGTGTCATGTCATTGTACCTGCTGCCTATTGACAGATGTATTATTGTTCTCACAGCTCTGAAGATCCACGTGAGTCCGCAAACGAAAGAGGTGCTTGATACTTTCCATACATTCCAGCTCGAACTACGAGGCCCAGTAGAAATGAAGGTGAGAGACATACGTAATTATACGTAGTGTAGTAGATAGAACTACGAGGCCCAGTAGGAATGAAGGTGAGAGACATACGTAATTATACGTAGAGCAGTAGATAGAACAGAGAGGCCCAGTAGAAATAAAGGTGAGAGACATACGTAATTATACGTAGTGCAGTAGATAGAACTACGAGGCCCAGTAGAAATAAAGGTGAGAGACATACGTAATTATACGTAGTGCAGTAGATAGAACAGAGAGGCCCAGTAGAAATAAAGGTGAGAGACATACGTAATTATACGTAGTGCAGTAGACAGAACTACGAGGCCCAGTAGAAATAAAGGTGAGAGACATACGTAATTATACGTAGTGCAGTAGATAGAACTACGAGGCCCAGTAGAAATGAAGGTGAGAGACATACGTAATTATACGTACAGTAGTAGATAGAACAGAGAGGCCCAGTAGAAATAAAGGTGAGAGACATACGTAATTATACGTAGTGCAGTAGATAGAACAGAGAGGCCCAGTAGAAATAAAGGTGAGAGACATACGTAATTATACGTAGTGCAGTAGACAGAACTACGAGGCCCAGTAGAAATAAAGGTGAGAGACATACGTAATTATACGTAGTGCAGTAGATAGAACTACGAGGCCCAGTAGAAATGAAGGTGAGAGACATACGTAATTATACGTACAGTAGTAGATAGAACTACGAGGCCCAGTAGAAATAAAGGTGAGAGACATACGTACTTGTACGTACAGTAGTAGATAGAACTACGAGGCCTAGTAGAAATGAAGGTGAGAGACATACGTTCTAGAACGTAAGTAGTAGACAGATCTACGAGGCCCAGTAGAAATGAAGGTGAGAACTAGTTGTACAGACTGTAGTAGCTAAATGTCCGAGCACAGGACTAGTTATCCAGATAGTTGTAGCTAGAACTCCGAGGTGAGAGAGACAGAGGTGTCAGCACATTTTACAGCTAGTATTATCTGGCATGGGTAACTCGGTGACGGTAAGGGCCAATATAAGTTGTTAACCGATCTCGAGGGGATATGGTGTGATGTTACCCGAGTGATTTGTTGACAGCGAAATTATTTCACCGATGTTTATTCACACAGATCCGGATATTTCACTGAGTAAAGCGCCTTGATTCAGCCATTTTGACACAAACGAACCGGGTTGCTTCCCGTTACTCAATGCATTCGTATAAGCATCGGTTCATTTCAGCTCAAAGGTACTTATATGAGCTAAGCAAGTTACCTGAGCGGGAAATATGAAAAATAGCTGCCCGCTCCTTAACCAATCATAAGCGAGTATTGTAATGTAAGCTGAGATAAATGTTTATATATTGAACTACCGATACCTTTCTAAGCATCAGTAAGTAACAACAATAATTTTAGCTTAGAACTCAAACATGCCATATTGTACTTGCAGGGTAAAGGCGAGATCATCACGTGGTGGTTGTTGGGGGAGAACGGCCGGTAGTACACGCCAACATCGCAGTTGTTGCTGCAGCAAGTCTAGTGAGGTCACGGTCGTACCTGACGACGCGGCCAGGAACGTGACAACGGCGACCATCGTTGTCGCTGGTGCCATTTCCGGGGCTGTCGTATTTCAACCCCAGGATTACCAGGAGCTGTGATGGTAGCCACAATATGCAGACAGAGTCACAAGATCACGCGTTCTAAAGGGGCCAAACCATTTCAGTAATACTATCTTAATTTCATCATCATGATGTTGTGCCTGAAACTGACGAGGACTTTGTATATATATATAAGATTCACCTGGTGTTTGGTACATATGCCGACGACATATAGATAATCAATCGATATTCACTCCGTGATACCACTGGACATATTGGACATCGTCAAGAAATATATGCATAGACTGGTTATAGACGTATGCAAACAGCCGCCACCAATGAAATACCTGTGTTTTACCTTTCAGTCTCTGACTGTATTCTGACTGTATTCTGGCTGTATTCTGACTGTATTCTGACTGTGATGACGACAGTTCATGATTCATGCTTGCTCAAAAATATTTAACATGAGTAGTTTTACAAGTGCTTTTTGTGTCGTCCTCACATGTGATATGTATTTGATTACTTCTGACTTATTTGAATGTACAGTAAACTACGGTTATAACGAACACGCTTATAACGAACTGACGATATAACGAATTTACTTTTTAGTCCCGACTATTTGCTGTAGTTATGCTGTATATATGCTTATAACTAACTGCGGTTATAACGAACTAAAAACAGTAGTCCCTTTGAGTTCGTTATAACCGTAGTTTACTGTATTGGACACCACAAAACCTGCTGTCGGTGACATCCATTACCTGAGGTCTCCCTCACTGATGACAGACAAAACGCAGTCAGATTCACGAAACTCGATTGTCGTCGTTCCTCGACCGGAATGTAGTCGACGAATCACATGTCTGCCATCAACATGCCGGTGGTGCTGTATGTTGTTACATTGGGTGATGCCGTCTCGAACAGGATGGGAGCGGTCGGGTAGCCTAGTGGTTAAAGCGTTCGCCCGTCAAGCCGAAGACCCGTGTTCGATTCCCGACATGGGTACAATGTGTGAAGCCCATTTCTGGTGTCCCCCGCCGTGATATTGCTGGAATATTGCTAAAAGCGGCGTAAAACCAAACTCACTCACTCGACCAGGATGGTGCTGAAGCCTAGGTAACGTTGGCAGCTGTTGGTCTGGTGGAGATAGTGTTACATTACCATATGTAACTGTTCCGACTTGGTCATCAGAGCCCTTGAGTATAAGTAGCTTGCATAGTGATAAGGGGTGATTGGGTAGCTTAGAGGGAAAGCGTTCGGACGTCTAGCCGAAGGCCCAGGTTGGATTTCGTACATAGATCCAATGTGTGGAACCCATTTCTGGTGTTCCCTGCTATGATCTTGCGGGGAAATTGCTAAAGGCGGCGTTACACCACGCCCACTCATAGAGACGAGTGTTGAACCTGAATCCCAGAACCAATGGACAATTCATTAAGCATAAATAATCATTTAGGAAAACAAAAGTAAAAATCTAAACTAAGTAAGGCGAATGTGATATGCAGGATGGGTTATACAAAGCTATATGCAATAGAAAAACGAAAGTAAAATCGAAACATTTTATGTTTAACTAAACTGACGAAAACAAAAAATCAAAAGTAAATCTAAACATGGTGGTTTGTTTAGAAGGGTATACCCAAGCGAATGTGTTATGCAGGATGGGTTATACAAAGCTATATTTAATAGAAAACCAAAAGTAAATCTAATCGTGTTAGGTTTTGTTTAGATGGCTTAACTAAAATAAAAGTTCCTGCAAGATGAGTTAAATAGAACTATATTTCATAGAAATACAAAAATATAATCTAAACATTCTGTAGCGATTTTTTAATGCAGGATGGGTCATACAAAGTTATATTTAATAGAAAACCAAAAGTAAATCTAATCGTGTTAGGTTTTGTTTAGATGGCTTAACTAAAATGAAAGTTCCTGCAAGATGAGTTAAATAGAACTATATTTCGTAGAAATACAAAAATATAATTTAAACATTCTGTAGCGAATTTGTTATGCAGGATGGGTTGTATAGAGCTATATTTAATAGATAACAAAAGTAAATCTAAACATGATGGTTTTGTTTAGAAGGCTCAACTGAAGCGAATGTGATATGCAAGAAGGATTATACAGAGCTATATTTCATAGAGAAACAAAAGTAAAATCTAAACATAATGGTTTTGTTTAGAAGGCTAAACTAAAGCGAATGTGATATGCAGGAAGGGTTATATAGAGCTATATTTCAATAGTAACATAATGTTATGGTTTTGTTCAGAAGGCTCAACTAAAGAGAATGTGTTAAGCAAGATGGGTTATATAGATGCATTTGAAAGTTCAGAAGATGTCTTTGAACCCAACATCACACATTGGTAGTCATGCGGACGTGTGTTAAGATGAACAGTAGATTTTGTATATTGGTTGTTTACTGTAGTCACCTTAAACTTATGTGAACATTTGTAGATCATATGACTTTGTATATAATGGCACACTTCTAGTGTTGTGATGGTTTAAATATACCGTATTCGACGTAATACGCGCCCAGGGCGCTCACAAAATTAGAAAATAAGGGGCTCTTATTAGAATATTATTTGGTGAAAAAAAAATTGAAAGATAAATTTCGTGGTTTATGCCCACAGACGGAAATGTTTATGTACGACAGATATATTTTTTCCAGAATTTAATTGCCAATAATAAAGGGTGCATATATCACACGAGTGCGTATTATACGCGAATAGGGGAAGGAAGCGGTGCGTATTATATGCGAATAGTGGTCAGAAGGGGTGCTAATTGGGTTTGTTCACTAGCAAATATATTAACAAATCTCGACGTGGGCGCTTATTAGAGCGGGGCGCTTATTACGCGGAATACGGTACATCAAGTACGTGACCGTCGTTGAGAAGAAACATGACTGTCACACCCCGTACATAATGGGTCATTGTGCTGGGTCAATCTGTGGCACCACCGCTTGACCTTAACCATCTTTACGGAGTTTCCACCAAAGTTGTAGAGTCGATGTTCGGAAAACGAAATAAGAGCCGTTTTAAACCATGGAATTGTCGTTCGAGTTTGTAAACGTGATATTTCAATAACAAGGCAAGTGTTTATTTGGCTACCTATATTGATAAACGTTTGATCCAAGAAAAGGAAATCAAAGTTTCAATTGTATTCAACGCTGATAAAATTGTGGCGAGGTGGATGCAACAATGTGTAATTAATAATGAATAATATCCATACATAAATAACAAGTCTACTCTCCCTGACCTAGCCAAAGCGTAATACAGTTCACACGTGGTATTTAATCCTTATTATACGACTTTTACCAAGCCTAGACAAAATAATGGTTAGTTTGAGAAAAGGGTAATAGAGTTCCAGTTTTTTTTCTGACAGGGTTAGGAGCTCTTTCGAAACATAAATGAAGGTTAAAGTTCATCGAAACATAAATGAAGGTTCAAGTTCATATCTTAACGAGATGTCGCCTAGCTCTTGACATAGTTGGGTAATGATTCCTATTAATGGTAAACATGACATTGAAAAAATGTCAAACCGTTATTTCCATGTCAGTTTGGAGGATGCTAATGTCAACGATGATCAGTTCCATGGATTTTTGTCCAACCGGAACAAATATTGTTCGTGGACACATTTTCCCAGTAAAAACTGTTCCAAGGAATAATTCCCTTAGAGAAAAATGAGTCGAATGAACAACATTGGAAGAGGTACTCTTTAGCATTAACACCAACCAAACCATCAACAAACGCAAATCTTCATCTTGCGATAGGTGTCATTTCATGTTATCATCTTAAAGTTCGAAATGTGATGAATTTACCTGAGCCAGCCTGGTTGAATATCATATCTTTGTTCTTTGTCCGTATCATTTCTTGTTTTGGGATTGTCCAAGACGCTTCTACGTGGATGTATAACTAGAAAATAGTAAAGACCATCCCGTGACTCGAGCTTTTTGTTGTGTGTCATCTCACCATCTTACACGTTGTCCACAGACGTCTCAGTAACATCTCAATGAAATGAAGTTCTTCTCTCTATAGTTCTCGTATATTTACTGACGTTACAGACACACATGTTTAGTTCTACCTTCATCTATGTAATTACCGCCCACAGAGTCAATCACATCAGGAGCCAGATTGTCCCGTGTTGGGTCAGGGTAGTCATAGTGTTCAGATACCATGGTGATAGATGTAGGGCTTGTTATCGTGGTAGTCGAGGGTTTTAGGGTAGGGCGTTAAGTACATTGATTACGGTAGTACTACCTTGGCGGATGCTGGTGCGCCGGTGCTTTACACGTGTATAATAAATGCACTATGCTCGTTATTGTGGTTTGTTCTGTTTGCAGCTGAAACAGATTCATTAGTCTATTGAACGGCGTTTTAGCTTCGTGCAACCCTGCCTTTTAAGGTACAATCGAGCATGCTTTTTCTACCACGATTTCAAAGAGCGCCTGGGGCGGTCGGGTAGCCTAGTGGTTAAAGCGTTCGCTCGTCACGCCGAAGACCCGGGTTCGAATCCCGACATGGGTACAATGTGTGAAGCCCATTTTTGGTGTCACCCGCCCTGATATTGCTGGAATATTGCTAAAAGCGGCGTAAAACCAAACTCACTCACTCACTCACTCAAAGAGCGCCTATACGACTCTTGCTCAGAAGTTGTTTGATCAATGTTACAACATTCAAGGCCTCAGTTAAAATTTCAAAAAGTTTTATGTTGGGTATCTGGAGGAAATTTCCAAATTTGACGCATCAGTGGCAAGATTAATATCCGATGCAATTCCCATTTTGCCTTGTACCAAATGTTTCCGTGTTTGTTTTATTTATACAATTGAATTGCCTTTGCATGTGTTTGTTACGTGCTTCCGGAGGGGCAGGATGCACTCACCTATTCGCGAACACCTGGTACCATCACTATTTGATAGTGATTTATAAACTCGACTTTGCGTTTTGCAGAGATTTTTTATGAATATATGGAAAGGGCTTTATCACTTTAATTTTATTCAACAATATCGCCATTTTAACACATCCCTGTTTATCCACACAATTTCAGCACTTGTCATATGGAGACTTCAAATGAAACTACGTTCACAAATAAATCCCATTGCAGTGGAAGAGATATAGTTTTGCCAGGCCCAACCGGAGAATGTCGGGTACTTGATAGGGTTCACCATGCCTATTCTGTAGCTGTAGGGGTAGGAGGGGGAGGTAGGTTGCCCCGGCCCCCATGTCGTGAAAGAAGCGGTGGTGGTGAGGTCGACCCAGTGCCACTCTGCTAGCGCCATCACGTAGTAGCCCCCAGTCCAGTAGCCGTATGTAGGGTAGGACGTTGCTGAAACACGCCAAATGTTGTTGTTGTTTGTTGGCTGGTTGGTTGTTTGTTTAACGCCCCACTCAGCAATACTCCAGTAAATGACGGCTTGTACATAATCGAATCAGGACCTGAGCATCCATTAATTGATATTGTAATGCAGCGGCCATAACATTTCCGAGTCCCTTGATGGGATTTGAACCACGGACCTTCTGATCAGAAGTCGGACGCCTTGTCCACATGACAAAAGAGGTTAACCCCGTCAGCAAGCTGACAAGGTAAGGATGTCATCTGTGGGATGACTCCACGCCCTGCTTCATACTCCCCCGTCAACAGAAGGCACGTCCCGGGCCGCATGGTTGGGTACTGAGGCTTATTTTTCTCAAATATAATATGAACGTGCTCAGCCCCACATTGGGCGCCAATGTAGCAGCCATAAAATTTCCGAGTCCCGTGATGGGATTCGAACCACGGACCTTCTGATCAGAGGTCGGACGCCTTGTTCACATGACCAAAGAGGTTAACCAAAGAGGTTCACCCCGTCAGCAAGCTGACAAGGTAAGGATGCCATCTGTGGGATGACTCCACGCCCTCCTACATAAACAACGTTCCACGCCGTCAAGTTGCAATAACACGCCATCAACCAAGTCCGCGATCCGGACCCCACGATCCATCTGATCGCCTCTTACAATCAATACATGTGAAAAGACCCGTGACGATCCGGGTAGAATAAGTCTTCAGCAACCCATGCTTGCCGTAAAAGGCGACTATGCTTGTCGTAACAGGCAACGTACGGGATCGGGTGGTAAGGCTCGCTGTCTTGGTTTATGCATGTCATCGTACCTCAATTGCGTGGATCGATGCTCATGATCCTAATCACTGGATGTTCTGGTCCAGACTCGATTATTTACAGACCGCCGTCATATAGCTGGAGTATTGCTGAGTGCGGCGTTAAACAACAAACAAACAAACAAATAACAACATGTGAAAATCGGAGACAGTTACGCACACGCATGTCGTATGTACAAGAGCATACTAAAGATCGTGTACAGATAGAGTCATCCTTCCAGTTTACCAGAAGGTGTACCATTCAGTACGAAAGTGAGTGAGTGAGTTGGGTTTAACGCTGCTTTTAATAGTATTCCAGTCATATCACGGCGTGTCAGCTTAATGTGGGAGGAAAGCCCGAAGTGATGCAGGTCTCAGACGTTTACCACTTCGGTGAATCCCACGAGCACGGGTATGGTGCTGACAAACCTAGAAACATAATCGGGGCGAACCGGGATTCGAACCCACAATCATAGGTTTCTGGCGTGCCTAAGGGACGCAACTCTGCACAGCGAATCGCGGCGCCTTAGACGACTGGGCCACCCGTGCCCCCCCAGTACGAAAGTAACACACGTGAAAATTTTAGCGCAAATGAAATATCTTCAACTTTATGATGCTGGTAGTACGAGTGATTACACAAAAAAGGAGTACAACACATTGTGCATTGTTTCACCACCAAAAACAGGCACGGATGATCCCGTCGACGTCCGTCCCTCGTAGTTGGTTCGTCTTCTGGATTACCTCTGTTGATGATCAACATAAATCTATCAGCACCTCGACCCTTGTCCCGACTTTCGCGAAATTCGTTAACGTCAAGGAACTGTGATCAAGTGAATAAACCTGCACACCGTGATCTAACTACAATAATGTCTGCAGCGTCAAACCCAACTACCTCACCCACCCATCTCAATAGTGTACACTCACAGTTGATAAGCGTGAGTTGGGTGACAATGAAGGCTTGTTCCTGCTGTGAGTTGACCGACACGAGGTCTGCCCCCCTCCTCTGACAGTCCTCTCTGGCCTTTGTCCACGTGAGTGGCCAGCTGGCGACGTAGTAGCAGCTGTGGGGGCCGCTGATGAACGTTGGGGGACAGGCTGGTAACATGACAAACGGGCATTTATACCTCTTTAAAAACCCTTGACGGTTACATTATGCTGTCAATCAAAGAATATTAGTACACAACCGATGATTGGTTGGTTGGTTTGTTGTTTAACGCGGCACTCAACAATATTCCAGCTATATGACGGCGGTCTGTCAATAAACGAGTCTGGTCCACACAATCCAGTGATTGATATCATGAGCATCGATCCACACAATTGGGATCAATGACATGCATCAACCAAGTCAGCGAGCCTGACCACCTGATCCCGTTAGTCGCCTTTTACGACAAGCATGGGTTGCTGAAGACCTATTCTACCCCGGAATCTTCACGGGTCCACAACCGATGAAGTTTGGTATATTTATCTCTGGACCACAACCGATGAAGTTGTCCAGAGATAGATATTTTGTTCATAAATGACAACCTGGAAACCAAGTCTCTCGTCACGAGGCATTCTCGTCTGTAACATGAAACAAACTCCCCATCTCTTCGTCTCTTGCATTATCTGAAAACACGCCTCTCTTACTGTACTAATAGTAATCACATGGGTACCATGATATGTAATGTATTGGGTCCCGTGAACATACCAACCAAAAATGTTAGTATACGCCACAATTGTCAAAATCGCCAGGCCACCTAGTCGTGCAGTTTCCAATAAATATCACCAAAGTAGTCCACCCTTCAACAACTTGTGTGACCAAATATACATGACAAAGGGTTTGGTTCATTACGATATCTTTCCTGTCCAATTTTTGAATTCTTAAGATTTGTATTAACTTGGAGAAGGTTCAAATGAATCAAGCTCTATTGAGATTTGAAGGATGCAATGGCTGACGTTATCCGAAAATCTCTTCCAGTTGGTTGGCTTCTGTATGGCTTCATGCTATCAAAATCATCCTTCTTAATTTTGTGGGGCGGTCGGGTAGCCTCGTGGTTAAAGCGTTCGCTCGTCACGCCGTAGACCCGGGTTCGAATCCTGACATGGGTACAATGTGTGAAGCCCATTTCTGGTGTCCCCCGCCGTGTTATTGCTGGAATATTGCTAAAAGCGGCGTAAAACCATACTCACTCACTCACTCCAAATTTTGTAACTCAAATGATCATGTAGTTATTTCTAAAAGATCCAACTGATTATAAACTGTGTTATAAACAAACTGTCCTTTAAAAATGTACAGTCGGGTCGCAAGTAGTTCAATGAACTATGCCTGCAATAAGACCAAAATATATAACCAAACGCGTTGAGAGCTTTGTGCACAATGTCATTAGGTTTTCCCGAAAGGACACAAGTGACTACCTCTGTAAGGATGTGAGTTTACAGAATATATTGACAATGTTATGGCACACGTAAGGCAGCGTTTATGCCCTGAGGCAGCGTTTATGCCCTGAGCCACCCCAAACCCCCTCCCCACACACCCCGTCCCCACCAGAACCACGTCTGTACACTCACTGTGGGAGCCGGTTCCTGAGTTCCCAGCCCCTGGCTGTGTCCCCAGAGAATCCAGACATAGGCGGTTGTTGCAGTCACTCTCTGTACAACACTGGTAGCAAGGGCGGGGTGGTGAAGGCTCATTATCTAGGTCCAAATCATCGACCTCCCTTCGCCCCAGGATACCGAGGACGGATTGAGCATTCAGGTACAAATCACATCTCTGTTGAAAGAGAATTCCAAAGTATATATTTGAAAAATACGTTAGATGTAATATATTTCAGAAGGACAAATTGCTGATATACGCTACAGTCAGTGAACAAATATCATTTACACATTCATTATTAATCAAAAATCATATAGAGAAGAAACATACTAAAAACACAATTTGACAATCTAAAAAAAAACAGGAAATAAGTATACACTGGAAAATTGGATTTAACCAACAAATTACAAACATTATCAAAACATAACAAAGACGACAACAGCCACCGAAACACTGCACGCTTGAATTACAAAACACAACTACAAATATCATATCAACTACATCACCATCAAATAGACCCGTGAAGATCCGGGGTAGGATAGGTCTTCAGCAACCCATGCTTGCCGTAAAAGGCGACTATGCTTGTCGTAAAAGGCGACTAACGGGATGAGGTGGTCAGGCTCGCTGACTTGGTTGATGCATGTCATCGTATCCCAATTGCATGGATCGATGCTCATGATGTCAATCACTGGATTGTCGGGTCCAGACTCGATTATTTACAGACCGTCGTCGTAGCGCTAGAATATTGCTGAGTGCGGCGTTAAACAACGAACAAACAAACAAAAACCATCGAATAACCAATTCTTGGTTGTTTCATTTCTAGCCACCTTCTACTTCCTGTTGCCCGGCAGTTTCTGAAACACAGACCTATGGCGGATGTACACATACCGTCTTTTCCTCACAACCCATGTGAAACTCCCGTTCCCCGTTGTTGTCAGTGTATTCCCGAGTGTAGCAGATCTGGAAATGATAATAATGATGCTATGGTGAGGTGAGGTGAAATGGGGTTTAATGATGCCGATTTATAGTGCTAGCTCACTGATATACCATGCCGCAGTTTAATATGAATACCCCACTCAGACACAGTATACTGACTCCGAGCCGACCAGTCCTTGTTTTAGCCCCTAGAAACCTAGAAACATAATCGGGGCGAACCGGGATTCGAAACCACAATCATAGGTTTCTGGCGTGCCCAAGGGACGCAACTCTGCACTGCGAACCTTCAACATTAAGCTGATACGCCGTGATGTAACTGGAATAATGTTAAAACAACGGCGTTTACCCTCACTCGCCCACACTTTCAGGACAAAATGGTTGTGTTGTGATTCAACGAGTGACTAAGAATAATAATTTAGATTGGACCAAGTTCCAGACACATTAGATGTTACCTCTTCCTGTCCGCATATTGCCCACTGGTTACAGGCGAGGGGAGACTTGGCGCCATGGCACTCCAAACACCGCAGACCTGGGGACAATGGTGACACGTGTATTCATCAGCAATTCTCAATATGATATCGATGAATAGTGAGTGAGTGAGTGAGTATGGTTTTACGCCGCTTTTAGCAATATTCCAGCAATATCACGGCGGGGGACACCAGAAATGGGCTTCACACATTGTACCCATGTCGGGAATCGAACACGGGTCTTCGGCGTGACGAGCGAACGCTTTAACCACTAGGCTACCCGACCGCCCCTCGATGAATAGGAGAGCTGCAATGTGTAACGCATGGGGTATTTCACTAAAAGACACGGGGTGTTTCTTTGCCACTCCCGTAAAAAATTCTAAACCAAACTTCTTATTCATGTGTGACACTTACTGTCATCTCGTCTCACCACAGCTGATGTCTGGTGCAGCAACACCATGAGCACCACCACCAGCTTCATCTGAGGAGAGAAGAACTGGGAATGATAACGAGATGGACACCACAGTTACATTATCTGCAACGGGCTATATTGCACTGAAGTTACCTATCAATAACAGACTTTGTTGAACTAAAGTTACCTTATCAGCAACAGACTATATTGCACTGAAGTTACCCTATCAGCAACAGACTATATTGCACTGAAGTTACCTTATCAGCAACAGACTGTATTGCACTGAAGTTACTTTATCAGCAACAGACTATATTGCACTGAAGTTACCTTATCAGCAACAGACTGTATTGCACTGAAGTTACCCTATCAGCAACAGACTATATTGCACTGAAGTTACCTTATCAGCAACAGACTGTATTGCACTGAAGTTTCCTTATCAGCAACAGACTATATTGCACTGAAGTTACCCTATCAGCAACAGACTATATTGCACTGAAGTTACCTTATCAGCAACAGACTATATTGCACTGAAGTTACCCTATCAGCAACAGACTATATTGCACTGAAGTTACCTTATCAGCAACAGACTGTATTGCACTGAAGTTACTTTATCAGCAACAGACTATATTGCACTGAAGTTACCTTATCAGCCACAGACTGTATTGCACTGAAGTTACCCTATCAGCAACAGACTATATTGCACTGAAGTTACCTTATCAGCAACAGACTATATTGCACTGAAGTTACCTTATCAGCAACATACTGTATTGCACTGAAGTTACCTTATCAGCAACAGACTATATTGCACTGAAGTTACTTTATCAGCAACAGACTGTATTGCACTTAAGTTATATTATCAACAACGGACTATATTGCATAAAAATTACATTATCAGAAACGTACTATTCTACACTAAAGTTACCTTATCAGCAACAGGCTGTATTGCACTGAAGTTACCTTATCAGCTACAGACTATATTACACTAAATTATCAACAGCATGTCTTGAAGGTATACTCTGATTTAAATTTGTCGTGCCAAATCTGGGTGCTGCGTTCAATGCAAATACAATTGTCAATGCAGAGACTTTTCCATCATGAGTGAGTGAGTTGGGTTTAACGCCGCTTTTAACAGTACTCCAGTTATATCGCGGCGTGTCAGCTTAATGTAGGAGGGAACCCCGAATTGATGTATGTCTCAGACGTTTACCATTTCGGTGAAACCCACGAGCACGGGTATGGTGCTGACAAGGCGAACCGGGATTCGAACCAGTTATAGGTTTCTGGTGTTCCCAAGGGACGCAACTCTGCACAGCGAATCGAGGCGCCTTAGACAACTGGGCCACATGTGTCCCCTTTTACATCATGTTGCATGCTAGAACATGATTAAGGGTGTATTCTATGTAGAAGAGTCATGCACTAACAAGAGTCACTCAAGTTGTGTGTATCTGTGTACAATCATATTGCCGTAAAAGGCGACTATGTTTGTCGTAAGAGGCGACTAACGGGATCGGGCGGTCAGGCTCGCTGACTTGGTTGATGCATGTCATCGTATCCAAATTGCGTTGATCGATGTTCATGATGTCAATCACTGGATTGTCTGGTCCAGACTCGATTATTTACAGTCCGCCGTCATGTAGCTGGAATATTGCTGAGTGCAGCATTAAACAACAAACCAACCAACCAACTATTCACAGTAAGGAGCGATTCCAACATGGTTCAATATTTTACTATTTCTAACATATATTGGAACAGATGGATACTAAATGATAGTACACTATTAACGTAGTTTCCGTTTGCTCGGCATGCAGAAGCCCTAGTTGTCGTTTAGGCTGCTTTGCCGAGTTGCATCCTTTAGAAGCTGCCCGAGGGTTCAAAACCCAGATTATTTAACAACTTTAGGGCTCTTCCACAGTCGAGTGTTCCCGTCGGTAAATATACCTCTAATTTAGGCACTGTATGTTCGTCTAACGGCCTGCCACACGTTGTCGTTCCCGTCGTATATAACAGACATTCTGTTCAAGTGGCGTTAAATCCAACTCATTCACTGACATAATCTCTCAGGCTGTTCCCGACCAAGCGGACATTGTAAATGTGATCAAGCTGTCGACAGAAAGTAGTGATTCACTCAAATCAGGACGTTCTTTCTTAGAAGCCATAAGCAAAATGCCCGACAGTAAGGAACACAGAAAAGTCGACACATAGGCGCACACACTTGTTGCACAGATGTACCGTTAATGTACGACATGAAATCCTACCACTCCCTGACATCAGGAATGAAAAGTAACAAAATAAAGAAGTGAATATGTATATAAAGCTACTTACACCTGAGTCCATACCGGGAGTTCTTATCTCTGTCAGTCGTCCTGGGATCCTGTACGTGACAGCTGTCTGGTCTGGAGATAATACAAAGGTATACCCCATACCAAAGTTCCATTATCACGTTATATTTATGAACTAACTTTTAACATTTCACAGCGTTAATGCCAGCTTATTCACCCCTCAGCCCCCTCCACCTGATACCCACCTTCCACCCCCAGAGTGAGTGAGTGAGTATGGTTTTACGCCGCATTTAGCAATATTCCAGCAATATCACGGCGGGGGAAACCAGAAATGGGCTTCACACATTGTACCCATGTCGGGAATCGAACCCGGGTCTTCGGCGTGACGAGCGAACGCTTTAACCACTAGGCTACCCGACCGCCCTCCACCCCCAGAACCCACCCCACCTCTTCCTCATTAACCCTCCCACTCATAATCACAATGAGACCCAGATCCTGTGTTGCCTACATATAAGGCATTTTATAAAATTTGTTTCCTTACAGAGGAAGAAATCAGCCTAATCCCATCTTCCCGTGGCACGAGCGTCCACTAGCTTTTTTAAAGTCTTGTTTCCACCCTTGCCACATGAAGCCCATTTCCCTGTGCTAAATATGATCTGACTATCGCATATATCTATAGTCCAATCAGAGAACGTTTCATAAAATCAACATCTACGACTGGTTCACCTTCGTATGAAAGTGATTGACCGCTGCCTGTCGTTTTCACCTTTTAAACCCCCAACGATTGCCAGTGTGTTTGTGTCAGGGACGAAATCGCATGTTTTCGTTGTCTGACCCACTGGGTCTTTGCCTATTGTAGTCGCCATCTTTGTGAAGCTATACGAGATGAGAACAGGGATCTGATTGGATATCGCGTTTTCATTACAAGGGGCACAACTCGTGATCTACGCAAGGTGTACCAGGGCCGAGCCAAGACAAGTGGCCTTGATGTTGAAAGGGTAGAAACTAGGCTCTGATTTAGGTTAGTGGACACGCTTGCCTCGGGAAGATGGCCTAAACCATGTACTATCAACTTTGGAGCGACCTGAAGACATGTCCATTCCTCTCTGCACTGGCTCCTGAAGCTCCATAAAACTCCGTACAAAAAGTGACATATTGCTGGGTCAAGCACATGTACCATCAAATCCCTATCTCAAAGATTAACCATGGTCCTTAATACTATCAAAGGAGGGACTTTCTTTATTCAATTTTGCGTTGACAATTTATATATCAGAATCTTTGAATTAACAGAAAGTATTTGAGACAAGTGGGATTAGTACCATGTGGATTCTCAAAAACTCTAAGAATTTGCTTGAATATCTCCAATGTCAGAAAAGAACCAAGTTCAAGTTTGTAAAACATTTGATTCTTTCACTTTGTACACCACTACCCCACATAACCAACTTAAGGCAAAAACATCACTCCTTTATCTATGGGACACTTTCCAGATTGCAGTCAGACGTTGGGCCAACTATCATTATAATTAATGAGTATTCTTGTGGAGATATTAACATCAGTGCTTAATTCTAGGATTACGAATTGGGCTTATTTGTGAGATAAGTCCCGAAAGTCAAGCTGCTTTAGAAATAAATACTAAACGTCAGATCATATGTTTACATCATATGCATTTATCCAAAAATGTCTATCACGTCGTAAAACACAAAGTGTATGTAGCCCTTGTCAGTGTTAAAAAGCTTTGACTAAGTTGATTGTAAAAACTATGGCACTGTTTAAGAACTACTTGTCTACAGGGGAAAATGTATTCTATATCAAAAGCTATCATGTATTTAAATATCAAACCATGTTTACGATATGGTGACAATGTAACTGATTTCTTTGACTGTCCTGTTGGCTTAGGACAAGGATGTCTCTTGAGCCCAATATTGTTCTCAATTTGTTAGTGAATTGTATGAGATTATGGCTAACGGTAAACATGGTTTTCAAATGTTCCAGATGTTATAGAAATGCTTCTTTTTGCCGATGATTTCAGTTTAGTATCAGATTCTGCTGTTGGACTACAAACACAACTTAACATATTAGAATGTTACACCAAAGAGTGGAAATTATCAGATATAAAACAAATATTGTCATTTCCAGAAGAAGGGGTCAGGTGGCATTAAATGAAAGGTGGTTCTGAGTCATCATACATATCTTGGTGTTATGTTTACTAATGCAATGAACTGCAAGAAAAATTACTCGGATTTAAGATCACGGGCAAAAGAAGATCTAAATTAGTGTAATGTTTATCTCTCAGAAAGTTGGAGTTTTTATACCGAATATATTTTTATATTATTTGATGCGCAAAACAAACCAATTCTGTTGTATACATCAGAAATATGGGGATTATCTATCAAATACCCGGTGTACATCAACTTCCAAATTAGATGCTTGAAATACTAGTTTGATGTCCTTGGAATGCATGAACGCCGAATCTCCAAACTTACCTATTAAATGCTTGTACAGTTCGATGACATGGACAATGTAACATGGTTATCATATATTAGGAACCTTTTGTCCTCTCATGGCTGCGTCTTTGCATTTTGGAACCAAACAGTTGGTGATGTAATTTTTTTTGGAAACAATTTCTTGACCAATATATAAATATGTTTTACCAAGAATGGCATTTCACACTAGAAAACAATTCATGTATGACTTTTATAGAACGTTTAAGAGTCTTATTCGACCAGAAAAATAATTATCTATTATTTTATGAACCCTTAAACTTACATTTATTCAATTCAGGCATGGATTCTTAGAGGTCATGATAAATGAAGGAAGCAAAATGTTCACTGCAAAATCAAAGAGGTTATGATAATTATGTCTTTCAGCTATAGAAAATAAAGTTCATTTTACTTGGGCACGTCCTTATCACTGGGATCTAAGAAACAGGTTAATGCCAGAACGCTATCTGTCAAATTATCTTAGACCTGCTTTCTATCTCTTCCCTCTTCAAAAGACGATCCTGTCATATTAAAACTGTCCATATATTTTAAAACTTTCTGTTAGAAACGAATTGTTAAACTTTAGTATATATCCGAATATGTAAAACTACTCATATGTACCTCATTTGCATATGGCCGGAAGCCTTAATACATATTTTTGACTTTGACTATCCTCATTGAAAAAAATATTTGGGGTGAGACATTAAGGCATGAGTGAGTGAGTGAAATTTAACGTAACATCGGCAATATTTCAGCCATATCGTGACGAAACAGTGATTATGATTATATTTTGATTTAATTAAAAAGCTGTCAACGATGGACAGTAAAATAACTAGAGTATCACAGTTTCGATTTTAAAACAAGTTGAGAACAGTCAAAAGAATACATTTTCATTCAACAATACAAATTGAATATAAAAAAGGGCTATAGATCACCAGCAACCAAAGTGAGGCCACCTCACTAGGGACCGTGGGGACTTACATTACTTTTGCTACCTGCACGGCTCCCCAGCAGGATTTAAACCAACACTTCAGCTGCTGGTGATGGGATGCAATTAGGCCAACAATTAAGTAGGCATTCTCATGGGCACCAATTGTGCTCCCCTTCTTGCGGATCTGTTTCGTTATGCATATGAATCGCAGTTTCTGCTCGAACTGGCAAAGTCAAACCAAGAAGTTTAACAAGAAAAAAACAGGATGTAACAATATGTACATTTATTCGACGTATATATAAGTCAGCTGTGAAATCGTGAGAATAGCACGCATACATCGGTTCAACCCTCCGTAACACTCCAAACCTCTCTCAAACGAACATAACTTTACAGATGCATAAGGATTCAGCGTGACAAAAACGATTGTATGAGAAGAGGGATGACTTCAACTTTACGATAGTTAACTTTCCCTTTTTGTCGAGTAATATTCCAGCAGCTCCAGCCTTTGGTGTCATAAATTTCTTTTGAGATACAATGGAGCATGCTCTTTCTATGTCATGATGTCAATCACTGGATTGCCTGGTCCAGACTCGATTATTTACAGACCGCCGTCGATATAGCTGGAATATTCCTGGGTACCAACCAACCTTGGCTTGCCATCATCTGGGGAACTACTTTCTAACCCTAAATCCCCGGGGGTCTTTTTACCAGAAGACTTGACTTGTGAATTATGTTCTCTGTAGGCACGGCCTTTACGTTTCGGTCAGAGTTGGAAATAAAAGAAATAAAATAGCTATACATGTCGGATCTGTTAAATAAAAACAAAAATGGTCCGTTTTAATGTAAAAAAGTCAAAGGGTTATTCGTTTCTAAAATGTACTTAATTTTCACGAATATGCTACCCACTTTGACAAAATGACGTCATTTCTTTATCAGTTGGCACCAACGACGTCATATTGCAAGGGACATAAGCTATGGCGTGTTTATTATGGAAATAGACCTCTCGGCAACTGTGAAAAACATGAATCGATTTAATGAATAAAATAAATTAGTTACTTGTGATATTTGTATTGTTTTGCTTCTGAAAGTACTAGGTAAATACTTTTCATTTTGAAAAAGTACAACAAAAATAGGTTCATTTTCGTGTGAACTTGCCCTTTAAAAGGAAAGTACTCTTTATCCTGCTTGGCGATCAGCATGAAAAGAATATAACAAGGACGTGTTGGTTTGAGTCAGTACAATGCGTCTGAATGGGGTACGCCGAAGACCCGGGCTCGATTCCCCACATGGGTACAATTAGTGAAGTCCACTTTCCATTATCCCCCGCTGTAATATTGCTAGAATATTGCTAAAAGCGGCGTAAAACCATACCCATTCACTCACTCACTCACAGAATAGGGTAGCAATGTCCAACTGCGGCACGGCATCTCATTATATCACTATGAAACCGGCACCAGTCGGAACTAGTACAACCAGACACCCACACACCCACATGTGTGTTCAAGGCGCAGATTAGAGCAATCATCCTCAACGCGACGTTAAACCCCATTTCAGATCGCCTCACTTTTGACCCCTGCTGATGTTCGGTGAGTTTAAGTATCACGAATGTAAAATCCCGCAAATTCGAAACGTCAGAGAATAATCAAACGAGCAGATTCGATAGAGCGTTACAAGTCAAAATAATCATGGAAAAGGTTTGAATTGATCACTCGTGACACCGGGTGCCCTCATCTGCAGCTGCCGTCAATCACAATTTTAGTTCCAAACAGTATCAGTTAGTAAGGATAGGTGATGTTACAGCGGGGTAGCGTTCATCTATCGACATTAGATATTAGCTATGCATTTTGGAAATTAATCAATCTTATATGCTGGCCTATCTCAGCTGTAAAAAGGTCACGCTATCGTCAGGCCAGTTGGTGACAGCATGCTGTCACCAGATTCCTTTGTCAACAGGTGTTGCGGTATTTTCCCGTCCCCAGCGGAACGTATGAAGTACACACCCTCCTGTTTACAGGGACAAAGTCCATCCCATGAAGACTGTATCCCTGAGTTTTACAGGTAAAAGCATCTCTTACTGACCTTACGATTTTCGATACTTATTCTAAAATTAATATAATTTCAATTTACGGCAGTTGCTAGTTCCCCTTAAAGGGAGATTAACTTGTGTGTGACTTTGAGGCAATTGCATCAAAAATAATCTAAATCAGGAAATGTAACTGTCGATTTTACATGTTCAAACTCGATGGTGTACCCAGGCTAACGCTTATACGTAGTCCCTTTTTAGCCTGGCGCATTGTTGTCAATGAAACTTTGTCAATACTTAGAGGGATGGTAGTGTGGGGTTATTCTTGCCTTTGATCGTCCTTGAACTGAGGTGAGGTGAGGTGACATGGGGTTTAACATCGCGTCCAAGATCATTGCACTTATATAGCGACGTGCATGTACGTGTGTGTGTTTGTGTGGCTGCTTGTACTAGTCCGGACTGATGCCGATTTATAGTGCTAGCTCACTGAGATACCATGCCACAGTTTAACATGAATACCCCACTCAAACACAGTATACTGACTCCGAGCCGACCAGTCCTTGTTTTAGCCCCTTAATGCCGAGCGCCATACAGGGTAACAACAAGTACCATCTTTTAACGTCTTTTGGTATGACGCGGCCGGGGATCGAACCCAGAACCTTCCGTTCTCCGGGCGGACGCTCTACCACTAGACCACGGAGGCGGTTCCTTGAACTGATGCAGGTGCAATCTTGTTATATTTTGTAACTGACATGCAACAGAAATTTAGGCTTTTAAGACGTTAAACTATCCCGCTTACTGTTCCTTCTGGTTTCAGTAATACAACGCTATCTACGCCAGTAACAATATGTTACGACATCGAATATATGTGACGAGTGTTGTGCTGATCTTGTGCTGTGTTTACATCACTGATGGGCAAGAAGTGAACACCAGCCAAGGCCGTTTGCGGGGAACAACTCTATCTGTTCGTGGCAAACACGTGGACGTTTTCCATGGCATACCGTTTGCCAAACCCCCTGTCGGAAACCTCCGCTTCAAACATCCCTCTCCTCCCGATTCCTGGGATCCAGAGATCCGGAACGCCACACAAGAGAAGCCTCCCTGCCTTCAACCAAGGGACATCTTCAGCTTCCCCGAAGACTACCGCAAGACCCCAGGCAACCTAAGTGAGGACTGTCTGTACTTGAGTTTATGGAGGCCTTCCAACATTTCACAGGCGTCTAACCTGGCCGTCATGGTGTTCATCTACGGCGGGGGATGGGGCATTGGATCTATTAGATTGGGTTTATATAACGGACAGTACCTTGCTGCTGAGAATGACATTATCCTTGTGTCCATCAACTACAGACTTGGACCTTTGGGGTTCGGGTACTTGGGTCCGGATACAATACCTGGTAACATGGGTTTGATGGACCAGCGGATGGCCTTGAAATGGGTCAACGATAACATAGCCAGGTTTGGTGGTGACGTCAACAGAATAACCATATTTGGAGAAAGTGCTGGTGCAGTGTCAGTCGGTCTCCATCTTCTGTCGCCTCTGTCACGTGATCTGTTCAAATATGGTGTCCTGGAAAGTGGGTCTCCGAATCAACCAGTGAGCCGTCAAGTGTATCAGGATCACGATACGGCGCGGTCGTATGTAAGAACATTTGGCGCCATTGTAGGCTGCACTGGCTCTACAGATGCTGACCTCTTTACATGTCTGCAGAAGGTGGAGGCTGATGCGATCACGCCTGCCTTTGTGAAGGGCCTCGAACACGGACGAGCTCATTCACCAGTCATAGACAAGTACTTTATGCCAGATGATCCTCTGACGTTGATGAAGACGGGGCAATTCAAGAAGACGAACATATTACAGGGATGCAACAAGGATGAATCGACTGTCCTCGTGTTGCCATTAATGACGAACTTCACTCGTGATGGACTGACCAGAGAGAAATATCTGGAAATCATGAAATCATACACACGATTTTCTGGACCGGAGTCTAAAGCAGAAGCTCTTAGGCTATTTTATGAGGAGATGCAGGATCCGGTGGAACCTATCAACTATATACAGGTCCTCAACAACATCCGTGATGACTTGGAGTTCACATGTCGAGCTGTGGCCTTCTCTTCGTACTACTCTGAACACAATGATACATATATGTACAGCTTCAACCATCGTCTCTCCACCAGCAGTTATCCCTCGTGGATAGGAGCGACTCACACGTACGAACTGGAGATGGTGTTTGGCCTGCCTCTTGACAGGTCATTGGGATTCCAACAGGACGAGGTGGAACTCAGTAGGACTATCATGACATACTGGACTAACTTCGCCAAAACAGGGTGAGTAGCTATAGAGCTAGCTAGTTCATTATTTAACTATTTCCAGTAATTACTAGGGCACGGGTGGCCCAGTCGTCTAAGGCGCCGCGATCCGCTGTGCAGAGTTGCGTCCCTTGGGCACGCCAGAAACCTATGATTGTGGGTTCGAATCCCGGTTCGCCCCGATTATGTTTCTAGGTTTGTCAGCACCATGCCCGTGCTCGTGGGTTTCACCGAAGTGGTAAACGTCTAAGACCTGCATCACTTCGGGCTTTCCTCCCACACTAAGCTGACACGCCGCGATATCACTGGAATACTGTTAAAAGCGGCGTTAAACCCAACTCACTCACTCACTCCAGTAATTACTATAACACGTCTTACAGCTTATGGCATTGTAGAGTAGGCTAGTGGTTACACCTTCACTCGTCATGCTGAAATCCTGACAGGTTTTCCCCACACTGGTACAATGCGTGTGTTCCACTCAGTGTCTATGATATGGCTATCACACTCAAACAGCCGTACTCTATTAAACTTCCGAAGATGTTAGTTTTATATAACAGGTTTATTTGCTGCAAGTCGTCTCAAAATTGTAATTCGGGTGTCATAGATATTAGTAAAATCATTGTTTGAAAGTTTAACATTGTTTGAGAGATCTAAACATCTAGTCAGACATCTAGTCAGTGATCTAGTGATTTGTTTCAACGTAAGTCAAGTAAATCCCAGTCTTTAAGACCTAGACCCAAAGATACTAAATAAACACGTTTGCACTGTTAGAGTGGAGTGAGTGAGTGAGCGATTATGGTTTTACGCCGCTTTTAGCAATATCCCAGCAATATCACGGCGGGGGACACCAGAAATTGGCTTCACATATGTTACCCATGTCGGGAATCGAACCCGGATCTTCGGCGTGACCAGCGAACGCTTTAACCACTAGGCTACCCGACCGCCCCCTTAGAGTTGAGGAGATTTTCTTCTGGTAATAATCTATAATACTGTGTTTCAGTAATGTGTTTCCAAAGCAATACATAATTTTCACAATCTTGCTTTGATAGCGTTTGCACCTGCCTAAACTACAGATATCAAGGCAACATTCAAAGATTTCAGTATAGGCTCCTTACAGGTTTTGCATCAAGCGCTCAAAGTATATTCAGCATTAAATTTTATTTAGTAATTTTTAGTTCAAAGGGTGATCGTTTCATACTCTGATTCACTGCAGAAACCCCAACAAGCCTGTTGCTGTGAGGAGTAAGTGGGCAGTGTTTAAGCAGCCAAGGGCACAATACATGTCCCTTGACGTTGGTGACAACCTGGCAACCAGGCAGCGTCTACACCATCAACGGTGTAACTTCATCAACAACATATTGCCTCTGGTACAAGAAGTCAGTAAAGATAAAGGTGTGTGTAGTTCCAAGTCATCAGACATCTCCTTAATTCAAAATAAGCATTTTGTATTGCAACTGAAGCCACACCCAAGCTTTAAGCATTATCCAACCTACGGCCATTAAGCTCACTATCCTGAGTGAGTGAGTGAGTTGGGTTTAACGCCGCTTTTAACAGTATTCCAGTTATATCGCGGCGTGTCAGCTTAATGTGGGAGGAAAGCCCGAAGTGATGCAGGTCTTAGACGTTTATGCTTCGGTGAAACCCACGAGCACGGGTGCTGACAAACCTAGAAACATAATCGGGGCGAACCGGGAATCGAACCCACAATCATAGGTTTCTGGTGTGGCCAAGGGACGCAACTCTGCACAGCGATTCGCGGCGCCTTAGACGACTGGGCCACCTGTGCCCCATGTAACTATCATGGAAATATCGGGTGTTGAACCAAGCCTGTACACCTGTTCACCTGTTCCTCATCGTTCGGCATTTAGCAATATATTGCAGTCTAACAAAACAATCGCTGCTGCTCTTCCCCCGCCATGTTCGTCTCACGGCGACGCCATATCACGCCATATCACGTAAATTCACGTCGGTTACAGTATCATGCAGTGCAACCAACTCAGTAAGCACACAACTTCATAGATTGCAGTTGCGTCAGTCTGTAACATTAGTGCTGGAAAAAGTAGTTGCAACTTGTACGACAGAAAACACCTCAACACAGCTCTGTCTACATTTGTCTACATTTCTTAGCTCGGCCCAACAATGCACTTGTGGAATATTTCGAGTCACGTGATTAATGAGAAATAAATTAATAAAAATTTAAATTTAAAAATCCTACTCATTGCTGCATGGGATCATGGATAACCGGATAATGAAATATGACAAAATTTAAATAATTATAACAGACTACCCATTTTAGTGGTGTTGTATAATGTTCGAAACGTACATATGTCCCTGAACATAAGGATGCGGGCAAGGATGTGGAAGAGACATCATTTGGCCTTGTTCGAGGATTTTTAATTTACGTCATTACGAATTTGACCAGTCCACCTTAAGTTCGGCATCTTAGAAAAGAAATAAATTTTGTTCAACCCCCATGTGTAGTGTAATAAAGTTTAGTTTTGCCCTGAACTATTATAACGTCAAAGCAACGCAAGCGTCCTCTTGCTTGAACTAATTTATAATAGTTCAGGTCAATACTAACTTCATAACACTTCACATGGGGAGTAGAGCAAACTTTCTTTCTTAATTAAAGAACCTCCAGGCAATGTATCCGTGTCGATTAAAGTACTCAACTATAAGAAGCTACATCTTGCATGAGGCCCGTGAAGATTCCTGGGTAGAATAGGTCTTCAGCAACCCATACTTGCCGGAAAAGGCGACTATGCTTGTCGTAAAAGGCGACTAACGGGATCGGGTGGTCAGGCTCGCTGACTTGGTTGATGCATGTCATCGATCCCAATTGCGTGGATCGATGCTCATGATGTCAATCACTGGATTGTCTGGTTCAGACTCGATTATTTACAGACCGCCGTCATATACATGTAGCTGGAATATTGCTGAGTGCGGCGTTAAACAACAAACAAACAAACAAAACAACCTCTTGCATGATTCATATGTGTGTAGACTTGCAACAATGCGTTACACTTATTATTATCTAAAGATATACCCTCTTTTGTAGACATGACACCAGCGTCCACCGCGCCCTGCACGAACGCCAGTCTAAGATCGTCTTGCGCCCGTCTTAACATCATGGCGCTGATGACGGGTGTCCTTCTTCTGAGGCCCCTGGATTAGCCAGATGCTACCTGCGGTGCAACTTGCGTAGAAGCTACCCATGTAACCCTCCCTTGGGACCTTTAGTAATCACTTTACTTCTTGTGATGGACGCTTGTTGCACCTCTTGATTCAATGTGTCTCACGTTGTCGTAAGAACACAATAGTAATATTTATAAAATAAACTAATAATTCGTTTTGTTTGAATGACAACCCTTTATACAGTCTCAGTGATATATCAGAAACTCGAAGTAGATTTGTCAAAATCTTTGTCGGGTTTTATACCCGTGCTCGTGGGTTTCACCACGTGGTAAACATCTGAGACCTGCATCACTTCGGGATTTCCACTCATCGTCAACTTTTCAAACGATTCGGGCGCAGAGGTGGACCAGTCGTATAAGGCGCCGCAATTAGCTGTGCAGAGTTACGTACCTTTGGCACGCTAGAAACCTATGATTGTGGGTTCGAATCCCGGTTCGCCCAGATGATTTGTCTTGGCTTGTCAGCACAAAGACCAGTGCACGTGGGTTTGACAAAAGTGATAAACTTCTTCAGGCTTTTCTCCCACACAAAACTGCCGTGATATACCTGGAATATTGTTGAAATCAGCTTAAAAACCAGCTCGCAACAAGGCTTGTCTGCCATATAAATTCACAGAATCATCAGTCTATTACTGAAATGGCTGAAATATGTAGATTGACTAGGTGAATCACATTTTACACATTGACTGTAACATGTGTAGACAAGGTGTGAGGTTCTACCGCAGAAAGCATGTATAGTACACTGCGTTTATAACTAACTCAAAGGGACTACTAATTTTAGTTCGTTATAACCGTAATTCGTTATAAGCATATATACAGCATAACAACATGAAACAAACAAAACAAACTTCAAGAAAACGATGACACATTCATCATACAAGACAATGAAATGTTGAAAATAACAGCATTCAGATTCGTGTACATGCTACTTACATAGAGAATACCGACGTCAGAATTGTTATCAGAAATAAAATTTTACATTGAAATCAGTACTATAAACTTTTGACAATCATTAGGACGATTGACTAGACGTCCTACCGCCTGTTCTTCACATCACAGATGAAAGCCATCTAGACCATCGTGATCCTTGAACTGCCGTGTGTGGCATATCTGAAGTGTTACAGTAACACATTATTTACATTGACCGATTAGCTTTTTCTTATGATAACAACATTTGATTTACGCGTGTAGCATATCTGAAGTTTTACAGTAACACTTTATTAACATTGACCGATTAGCTTTTTCTTATGATAACAACATTTGATTTCTCGCGTGTGGCACATCTGAAGTATTTCAGAAATAAACGTCAACGGTAGATAATAATAAGTCTCGATTATCTGCCTAAACTGTTTCCATTGGGCGTAGAAAGCAAAAATAGTCGAAAAATTACACGAAAGGATCGCTTAAAATCAGTGAAGACACCAGGTGTTCGCGGAGATGGTCCCGTTCTTCTGGTAGCAGCTGCCACTTACACAGTTCATACACAATGACCCCGAAGACACTTACTAGTATTTCAACAGTGAACGGGGCGGCCGGGTAGCCCAGTGGTTAAAGCGTTCGTCACACCGAAGACCCGGGTTCGATTCCCGACATGGGTACACTGTGTGAAGCCCATTTCTGGTGTCCCCCGCCGTGATATTGCTGGGATATTGCCAAAAGCGCCGTAAATCCATACTCGCTCGCTCGTCACGCCGAAGACCCGGGTTCGATTCCCGACATGGGTACACTGTGTGAAGCCCATTTCTGGTGTCCCCCGCCGTGATATTGCTGGAATATTGCTAAAAGCGCCGTAAATCCATACTCGCTCGCTCGCTCACTCACTCACCCACCCACCCACCCACTCACCCACTCACCCACTCACTCACTCACTCACTCACTCACTCACTCAACAGTGGACGACATGGTGCAATGTGCAAATGATAACCACATGTGATTCATATCATTCCGATAAGGAGAAAAAGGCTACATGACTGGCTAAGTTGATGGTTGTGGAAGAAATGGTCTCTTTCGTGATCAAATGGTATCATTAGTCATGAAAACATATACTGAACCAAATTAAAAACTTCACAATCCTAAAATTTTAACATTTTGACCAGTTATCATTGTGGGCCAGTATTGTGTATTTAAACAGTAATGGCCACGTATTGTCTTCAGATAACACCCGTTTTTGTGCAGGTGAATCGATCAAAATCATGTGCACAGCACTATAGTGGCAAAAGTTGTTTTTCACGTGCAACTGGTCACGTGGCCATAATACCGCACGTGTTTTCAGCCATACTTGTTAGCAGTCATTAAAAAAAAAAAGACAAACACAAGTAAACAAAAAGTCTTTACGGCCATTTGTCATGCCACGCCTTTCAAATGTGCAACGTGAACGTGCCATAGGCATGTTGCAGACAGGATCGTCCGTAGCTGAAGTCGCAAGGACGATGGGTTGTAGTCGACGGACTGTTTATGATTTACAGACGCGTCTACAGCAAACGAGTACCACCGCTGATCGCCATCGGCCAGGTCGACCACGTGTGACGTCACATGCAGAGGATCGTCAGATTGTCTTACGTCACCCCCGTAACCGATTTTTGACGGCTACATCAACCAGAAATGAACTGTTTAGGGGTAGACTGAGTGCGCAAACTGTTCGAAACCGTCTGAGAACCGCTCACCTTCAAACACGACGGCCATACTGCGGGCCGATTCTGACTCAATTACACAGACGTCAACGTCAATTGTGGGCACAGCGACACTTACGATGGACTTACGAGGAATTGGAATCAAGTCGTCTTCAGTGATGAATCCCGATTTAATCTTCGATTTGCTGATGGTAGGGCGAGGGTGTGGAGGCGCCGTCATGAACGTTACGCCCAGTGTTGTGTACAGGAAGTTGACAGATTTCGAGGCGGAAGTGTGGTGGTGTAGGGTGCTTTCTGTGGCAATGCACGTTCCAGGCTTCTTGTCATCCGTGGCAACCTCAACGCTGTTGCCTACCGCGACCAGGTACTGGCACCAGAACTTCTGCCTTTTATGGCAGCACATGGACCCGGTTTGATCTTCCAACACGACAATGCCAGACCCCACACAGAAATTTTGACAAGGAATTACCTTCAGAATGCAGGAGTCAACGTGATGGACTGGCCGTCAAGGTCTCCTGACCTCAATCCCATCGAACACGTCTCGGATGCTCTTGCCAGAAGTCTGCGCACTCTCCAGAACCAACCACAAAATTTTCAAGATCTTGGCACCATTTTGCAGCAACAATGGCGTCGTTTCCCAATCATGTGTTCACAAGCATCACAAGGTCCATGCGGAGGCGTTGTGTGGCAGTTGTCAACGCACATGGTGGCCATACACGCTACTGAACGTATGTGCCATCAGATTCTCGTGCTTGGGACTTATGATTTAAACTGTTGATGTTATTACCGAATACCGTAGGTGCTTGGAACAAATTATGGTTACCAATGTTAATTAAAATTATCCTTCTTTGGACATTAATGATTAAAAATTACCTTCTCTGATACATTTGTCCGTTGTATATCAGAGCTCAAGATAAGCTGCGTATCTGCGTGAAATACGCATCAGAAATGCAGAAATACACAGTAAAATATAATCCAAGCGTATCAAATACGCAACGAACATTACAGATACGCTACAAAAATAAAACTTGTGCGTATCATCAAAATATTGCGAAGTAACCCTGCGTATTCGATTAGCAAATCAGCAACTTATTTTGAAATTATAAACGGGCATTCCGTCAACCTTGCCAAACTCCACGATGACAGTTACATCATGATCATTTGCCATCACACTTTCTTGTGGAAGTATCGTGGTATTTTTGAGTCCTATAAAGCTCTCGAACCCACACGACACCAGTTTGCAGGGACTAGATGAATAGCGTTTTTAAATATTTAACTTAAATACCCACATGTGTAAAAACAAGTGGGTAACAGAAATTTGAATACGCAGATAGAATTACTGATACCCAATGATTTTAAAATGCATGGGTAAAATACCCACAACACCAAAAGCTTATCTGGAGCTCTGTTAGTAGACGTCTCCTATGATTATCAAAATGTACTTCTTAATTATACGTCTACCCCGGAGAATATCCAGTCTCGATTTTCCCTCGAAGCAGATTCCAGTGAGCGTAAAAGGCAAAATAGCGACGAATACATGCTTTTTCTCTACCAACTAATAAACCTATTCATCTGGATCGCTATCAAGTAAGAGACTTCTTTCTATAGGCATTAAGACCTATTGTTAGGTTTTAATTTCCAGTCGGGTTAAATCTCATAAACAGGGACGTTGTAATGTCCCTGGGATTTTATATAATATCCCAGGGATTTTATATAATGTCCTGGGTATTTTATTAATATAACTAGCGACGTCGCTATCAAGTAAGAGACTTCTTTCTATAGGCATTAAGACCTATTGTTAGGTTTTAATTTCCAGTCGGGTTAAATCTCATAAACAGGGACGTTGTAATGTCCCTAGGATTTTATATAATATCCCAGGGATTTTATATAATGTCCTGGGTATTTTATTAATATAACTAGCGACGTCGCTATCAAGTAAGAGACTTCTTTCTATAGGCATTAAGACCTATTGTTCGGTTTTAATTTCCAGTCGGGTTAAATCTCATAAACAGGGACGTTGTAATGTCCCTAGGATTTTATATAATATCCCAGGGATTTTATATAATGTCCTGGGTATTTTATTAATATAACTAGCGACGTCGCTATCAAGTAAGAGACTTCTCTCTATAGGCATTAAGACCTATTGTTAGGTTTTAATTTCCAGTCGGGTTAAATCTCATAAACAGGGACGTTGTAATGTCCCTGGGATTTTATATAATATCCCAGGGATTTCATATAATGTCCTGGGTATTTTATTAATATAACTAGCGACGTCGCTATTAAGTAAGAGACTTCTTTCTATAGGCATTAAGACCTATTGTTAGGTTTTAATTTCCAGTCGGGTTAAATCTCATAAACAGGGACGTTGTAATGTCCCTAGGATTTTATATAATATCCCAGGGATTTTATATAATGTCCTGGGTATTTTATTAATATAACTAGCGACGTCGCTATTAAGTAAGAGACTTCTCTCTATAGGCATTAAGACCTATTGTTAGGTTTTAATTTCCAGTCGGGTTAAATCTCATAAACAGGGACGTTGTAATGTCCCTGGGATTTTATATAATATCCCAGGGATTTTATATAATGTCCTGGGTATTTTATTAATATAACAAGCGACGTCGCTATTAAGTAAGAGACTTCTCTCTATAGGCATTAAGACCTATTGTTAGGTTTTAATTTCCAGTCGGGTTAAA